CGACAGATTATTTTGCTTATTTCAAGAACATTATCCGCCAATGGAATGAGATCATTTCATTATCTCAAATGTGAAATAGTAGATACATTGAGTGCATTTAAGACACTTTCACTTGCCAAGATGTCAGTTCTGCAGCGAGCAGGTCAAGGCAAATCTTGTCAAAACATTTGCAAGACAAAATATTTATTGTAGAGCAGCGTTCCAAATCTAAAACAAGTCTTCACCCTATCACGTCCATCTCAAACAAAACCGTCCGACGCACAAACACTGTGCAGCGCAAGACTGTTTTCCTCTTAACATTCCAGCTAAAATATTGACCTCGCACCAAAGCTTTCTACATTCTCCTGTTAGTATTTTGAGCATTAACATGCAAAAAAAAAAAACAAAGTGGTAAGATTTATTTCCCAAATGCACTTTCTGTTTACTCAACTGCAGCTTCCAGCAGGTAGTTGACAGGTGGAGCTGATAATATTGGAGTGATATAGCAGGTTCTAATAAAATATGTACACTTCCCATGAATAATGCATAGGCCAAGGGCTCATGAATGATGTATACTACCCAACACATATTTTATTAATAGGATTTTCTTAATTGAGTTGGTTTGAATAAAGCAAGGATTAATCTTGGGATGAATATTAATAAGCCGGGAGTTGATGTGTTTTCAGCGGAATGCCTGGCCTGTGAAAGCTACAGTCTTTCAGTCCAAAAATCAATTTAAAGGATCTTTTGGTGGATCAGTATAAATTAGCAACAAACCGTAATTGCAGCCTATTAGAATAATGTATCAATGCACTGTGATAGATTTCAGCCACAATGAGGGGAGTGCTTTAAAACGGAGAGGGCTGTGATTTGAATTCATCATAGTAACAGCCCCATCTGCAACCACTGCTTCCAGGGTATTGAAGACTAATTGAAAATTTCACCTTTAGGAAAGTTCCAGAAAGATGGGACCACCCCTCCCCACCAAGCCCCCCCCTTGGCTCTCTCGTGTTTGAAGCTTTTTTCTTGTTTTTTTGATGTTGTCACTCCCAATCTATTGTGTTTCTGACAGACAATCGAAGCGGCCCGTCTGAGGCTGGCAGCTCATTTCGGTGGCAGGTGGCAAACAATTAGACACAGCAATTTGGGGCGCAGCGGATGACATTAAAGCGTGCCGGCCTGAGTAGTACATCGCGGCTCTGGCCGACAGCCTGTGTGAAAGCATTTCAAAAATAATACACTTTGCTGGGGCGACTCATTTCAGCCTGTCAGCCTCTATTAAGGAGCTGAGGGCTGAGGGAGATAGCAGAGGGAGAGCAGACCCCCTCCGTTTAATCTGAAATCAACGCCCTGGAGACCCTCGCTAACCCCCCTTCATACATGCACACAAATACAATGCAGCACCTTTGCTATTCAGCAGATACACCTCATCTGTGACCCAGGGGCATTTGTCTGTATTATTACCAGCCAGCGGTGGCTTTTGTTACACTGGTTTGCCATTTCCACCACCATCTGAGCTGCACGTGCGCATAATGATGATCCATGCAAAAGTGGCTGCTTTGCACAGCCATCCATCCACATGCTGGCACTGCATTTATTACATTTCCGCACATCTGGAGTGACTTACGATTCACTCATGTTACAGAAGTAGGCAACTGTAGCATTAAGAGTCTTGCCCAAGGACTCTTATTGGCATAGCGTCACTTACCTGCCGTGAAGAATGCTAGCAAAGAGATGCACTGATATTACTTAAACTGGACAAAGACACTTAATGTGGCTAATTTGACACCTTTGCATCTATTTTTATTTTTCTATTTTTTAATATCTTTGAAGTAAATGCAATTGTGAATAGCTGTTGATTTGATTTCTCTACTTAGAAAGTGCCATACTTAGCTGTTTACACTGCCATCCTTGTCTCGCTTACCTCAAATATGAAAGACATGAAGCATAACCACAGTAATAAGCATTTTGATGAGGTTGCCATTAACAGTCTGTTCCCCATGCGCAAAATTAGGAAGACTGAATTGGATTGATATGAGACAAGTATTGGATTTTAGTGCCACGTGTGAAAAAGGACCAGAATTCAGAAATGACTGTCAGATTTAATGTGTTTTTTTTACTGTTCACACTGTCACAAAAAAAATCTGTGAAGAAACGAATGGATTTGGGCCACTGTTCCCAGCAGCGTGACCATAAGCTAAAGCTCTGTTAGAGCTGGATTGGTTTTACCTGAGAAGGTGCTGTAAATTGAGTGATTATCAAGTTTTGTGCTTTTAATCTAGTACAAATCTAAAATGTCCATATTTTTTACAAGTCAGATAAGTCATAAGTATAAAGAGAATTGCCTCTATAATACGTCAAACGTGGAGCTCCCTCTGCAACCGTACACTGTCAAAAATAAAGGAACTGTGCAGGTACATTTTTCATTCCTCAAGGTACATAACAATGTAAATATTCCCTGAAAGGTACAACAGTGGTTTTAAGGTCCAGCTGTGTACTTTACGTAAGTGTTATCAAGGTGAAAAGTACGTATTTGTATCTTTTAATAACCTAAAGTTTTAAAACAGAACAACAAAATAAAAAGCCTGGAGACGAGACGGGGTGTGTGGAGTCAGTACAACTTAGAAAATATAATTTCAGTGGATTATGGTACAATTATGTTCCCTGACTAAAGGTACTGAGATGTGCCCTTGATGGTACCACCCCAGTGACAAGAGGTGTACTGCCCCAGTGACAGTTTTTTCTGAGAGTGTGGACCTGTTCGCAGCAACCTTATGGTAATGTAATAACAAAACTAGCTAATAGACAATGGCTGTTTATGGTGACTGGAAGAAAAGGCTAACCAGTAGATGAATAAATGGAGCTTCACTTGGCACAGTCCCTTTATCCTCAAGTTCAAAACAGGGCAACTGCAAAATACAGCATTTTTGGTGATGGCCTCATTAGAAGGACAATAAAATAAAAGTACTTCTCACAAGGCAGCATTTGGGCAGCATTAATTAATTTGATTAAGTTAACGTTACTAGCCTAATGCTATTCTGTCTGGTATTAAGTGAGTTAGTTTTCGTTGCATGCTAGACCTGTTTTATTTTAATCTGAGTGCTGACATGAACCTTCAGGTTATGATGTTTTGATCCAGGCTATCTAGTCTAATTTGGAGAAATTCCAGAGCAACTTCAGCATTTTCCCCACCATAAGTCACATGCCAACCTGGCTTGGATGAGATGCAGACATTAGGATGTAACTGGCTGATGTCTGCTTCCTATTATTCAGATTTTATGTGGTGCTCACATTTTGGCCAAAGTAAAATTCTCAATCTATGTTCAAATGTAAATATGCACTAAATTCAGATGATAAATCTGGTGCTGTTCCAACAGCTCCAATCAGTGATATAGCAGCGTGATACTGTGGTGTGTGGCAGAAGCAAGCTGGCTTGTGACAGATGAGCATGTCTAGCTCTAATTTTCTAGCGTTTAAGTTTGTCACAGTAGACTTTAATCACTGAATTTCTAGGTCCTTAAAGAAACAAAGCTTACCACCCGGCCTTGAAAAGCAACTGGATGGAACTTTATTTCATACAAGTCAGCCAGTTAAACTCTTACAAATGACACTACCGGACCTCCACTGGCAAATGTAATTCAGAAGAAATATGGCTTGAAATGTACTTTTAGATACTTAATTGAAGTTTATGCAAGTTTTGGAGAACAACTGATAAACAAAGACATTCTGCATATGAATTTAATTATGACCTCATTCTTACTGTTATACAGCTTTCTTAATTATTATGGTATTATCTACAGCACCATTCATCATTCTGAACATATCAGAGATCATTTTACAATACTTTTATACATGTATCTGCAGTAGCATTGGTTTAATATTAGTAACAGTAACAGTAGTACAAGCTTAAAGTCTCAGTTGAAGGCGAGTCATTTATCAGAGAACACATTTACGTTGTAATTCATTTGGGATGTCAGTATGAGATATGAACATGCAGTCCAAAAGCATGAAAACATGCATGCTATCAGTACAATTTGCTATCAAGTGTTATGTTTTATTCACTCTTGATATTACTTCATGCATTAGCCCATTATCAAAGTGCTATCTTCTTTGTTTATTGTAGGGGGCAAGCTCTCGATCTCTGTATGCGCTCTGCAGCCAGCCCTTAAGACTAAACTGGGATTTAGCGGCGGATAAATGTTTCCTTGCCTGAAACGGAGACGGATCGCTGTGAGATCTTATCTGGGCTTGGAATGTAAACACACCCCAAATGTTCCACTACGATTCACAGTCCTTTTCAAACACAGAAATTCTTAGTGATAGGCAGTGCAGGGGATTGAAATGACTTACGGCTTGCTTACACATGAAAAATCATTATGGTTTTCTGCCAATGGAAAGGAATAATCCAGGTATTTATCATGGTTTGACTAAGATGCAGTGCACACTGTTATTGGCCTCAAAAAAGCCACAAAGAGATCCTGTGCTTAAAGACAGAAATCCATATATGTTAAACAGGCATAGATGAAAGCATTCACATCAAAAGGGATACTGTAACTTTAATGATGACAGGAAGAAATTAATCATAAAATCACTGTTAAAGGCTTTTACAGTAATGCTGATGCTTAGATATTGTCTGCCATCTGGTGGACTATTATTGATGTTTACCAGGGATGCAGCAGCAGCCCATAAAGTTCACCCAAGGTCATTCTAAGCATTACACTGACATGGCAGTTAGCTTAGGCCAAAAACATACTTCATGCAATTATCACACCCAGCCAATAGGTACATATCATCGCTGTCCAAAGAAAAACAAGTATCTCCAGAACAGTAACTTTAGCAAAGGCAAAAAAGCTCTTTCCTTTTAATGTAAGTTATTATAAAGAGGTTTCATTCCAAGTAATTTTAGAGAATTTCTACTGGTCCATTCATTATGAAATTTTCACACAACGTAAAGGACAGCTGGTATGTTGACATGATGTAGAAAAATAAAAATGGACAAAAATGGAGATACATGTTTTTTTTTGGACAGCGATGATATTGAACATGTACCTGTGGCATTTTTAAAGCTCAGGACTATAGAGGGCGATAGAGCACAAATCAGTGTATGCAAAATGGGTCTACTGTTATATCGTGTTTACATGTTGGCAGTAGACAGAACGGATATTCCACTGTTTTCAGTAGAGCCACAACGGAAAATTCTGCCACTGCCAGCAGCAACGCTGCACTGACCGCAGTTGTTAGCAAAACGTTCCAGTAAGAGTTTTCTTTTTGACCTCAGCTGCAGTGATGAAATAAATCAGATGTATTTCTTTTAGAAACAGGGTCACTGAGATGCTTATATTTGAAATTCTGTACATCTACATCAAAATGCACATTTTAACCAAAACATACTATTAGAAATATTAGTGTGTATTCAAAACACTTTGAGGATGAAACATTGGCTAACACCATTGCCCTGCAGACGTAACGTTTACACTGCTGCATACCATGAAATATACTGTCACTTATGCTATGAACAACATTTTTAAATGGCAAACTGAGCATTAAAATAGAAGGTTAAGTGAGCTGCAACTGAACTGTTGGAGGCAGAACACAGAGCAGGCCATGTCTCTCTTGTCAAACCTATGGGTACCAGCCTATGTGTAGGTTACAGCCCCTTGCTCTAACCCTGAAAATGCAATCTACACTTCTGTTGCCTTAAGATTTGACCATTTGCAAAACTATGATTGACACACAGTCGTCTCTAAAAATGACTTCCTCCCTCAGACAAACTCTAACAGAAGTCCTCACAACAAACCTGCAGTGAGAATGGCATCAGCAGTAAATTAGCCAGATTGGTTAAGCTAAGAGATGGGGGAAATGTGTTACTGACGAGCAGCATCCTGAGGATGATGCTGTTTTATTTCTTTCGTGAAGCTGGAAAAGTTTTGGATTAATCTGTATGGAAGCCTAAATGCAGAGCTCAGTGTCAAAACTATTACCAGGGGTACTTTTGGCAGCTCTAATGTAAGCTAAACCAGAAGTAGACTAATATAATTGCTAATATACATTAAGAACGGTATCTAACAATAATGTTACAAAACAATGTGATCAGTTAGCCGGCTCAATTTGGTTTTCTTAACAGTTAGCTTTAACAGGACTGTGTGTTTGAATACACACATACACGCTCAGTCATATATATTGTTCCACTGAAGTTTGCTAGAACTTGTGAGATGACGAGTACTTTTCAGGATATAATGCTGCACTATATAGCTTGTGCTAGCTTTAGTGTTAGCTCTGTTAGCTCTTTTGAAGGGGTAAGCTTCCCTCTCTCAAACCTCCTCATTATTAGACATGATTTTTTTGCCTTAAGTTGGCCTACATGCATGTTTTGTCAATTCTCGAACATGTATGTCAGCAATGAAAATCTTGCAATGTGAGTTTATATATGAATAACAAAACGTTTCAAAATTACACCTATGTGTGCCTCTGAATTGCTATGGAAGATTTAGGGCTATTGTAGCAGCTATAGATGCTACCAGCCTGAACCAAACGTTTGCTGGACACAGCAAGGGAGAGTTGGGACATCTTTTTGCAAAAGAACAACTGTCAAGTAATCCATTTTATAATGATACAACATTGGAAATCGAGTCTGGCTCAAACTATCTGTGTGCTTTTGTGGCCAAAAGCCTTTAATGTTGAGCCATAAAGCAGCAATTTGGACCACATAATCGACTCTTCTCATTAAATAACATGATTCTCATTGCTGTTGTCACATTTATTTTGATATATAAGGAATATGATCTAACAGAGCTGAAAATTTAGAGATTTTTATTTTACTTGTTATCGACCACCATTTTTAGCTAGATGTTAGGTAAGAATGGTTTAATCCCCACAAAACATCATTGTTATATCACCACATAACCAGGCTGCTGTACCTGTCGAATGAGTGGAACTGCATGGGCAGCATGGCCTGGGCCTCCCTCTTGAGGGCCTGGTGGTCTGGGTAGGGCAGGGGTTCAGGGCCGCTCTCTGTGGCCTCTAGCGGAGCCGCCACCAGGCTCTTCAGGATCTCCTTCACGTTGATGCCCTTGTTGGCCTGGCTGATGCTGGAGATGGAGGAGGCGGGCTTCAGCAGCTCCATGGAGGACGCCTCAGCCAGGTTCTCATGGGACTTTACCTCTGAGGAAAGAGTGCAAAGGAGCCCTCGTATGCCGTTCGGACCGCCAAGGCTGGGATCAAGGTCTGCTCCGTTCAGCACACCGGACATCTGCTCCTCCCCAAGGCCAGAGTCCGAATGGGGCAGGGATGCCTCAAGACTCGGCTCCCCCACCAGAGAAGGGGGATCCTTACTGCTGTCTGGGAACGTCAAAGGGTTTTCTGTTGAAACACACAGAATTTCATGAGAAAATAACAATACGACATACAACCAGAACTAATTACTAAATTTATGATGGCTTTAAGGAATATTTTTAAGGAATCTATATACAATACTACTCAAAAGTCAGAGTTCACCTTTCATGTATTTGATTTCCAGTCAAAACAGCCATTAAGTATAAGTCATTCATTTTCATGAGATGTTTCAGATAAGTTAAGCTAAGTTACCCTTTATTAATCCCACAACGGGGAACTTCACCTCTGCATTTAACCCATCAGTGAAACACCCACATACACACTAGTGAAAGAAAACACACTAGGGGGCAGTGAGCACACTTGCCCAGAGTGGGAGGACAGGCCTATCCACAGCGCCTGGAGAGCAGCTGGGGGCTAGACGCATTGCTCAAGGGCACTTCAGTCATGTCCTGGCAGTTCAGGGGATCGAACCGGCGACCTTCCGGTCACAAGTATGGTTCCCTAACCTCCAGCCCACGACAATAAGAGATAAGATAATCCACTCGCATAAGGAAAGACAGTTTATTGAAGAAATAAAAAATATAGAGAAAATTGGATGCTTAATAACTATGCAAGACCTAGTAGAAAACCAAAACTGTCACCATCAGATAAACAGCACTTAAAGCTTTCATATTTAAGAGACAATCAAGCTCTGCTCTTGCTTCAGATCTGAAAAATCCATGTGTTTCTGTCTATAATTCCAGTGTGAGAAAACAACTCAACACTGTGAGTCTGAAAGGATGTGTATGTGCTAAAGTTGTTACTGAGAAAAGGAAATGGACAAAAAAGAAGAAAATCAAGGCTTATTTCAATAAGCAGCAGTTGTCATAAAGGCAGCTTTTGTCCACACCTGTGTCAAGTGACAGTTTTTTGCTGATATGAAGTTCTGTCATAATGTTTTTGAGGCTGAAATGACAAGCACATTTTGACAATTGCTCAGTGTATTTTTTTTACTAGCTTTCAACAGATATGTAACTTACATTCCTGTTCAGTGCAGATAAACATGAACAGGTACTGTCAAGATCACAATTTATGCAAGTACAAATGTAACACTGTCACACCAAATAAGAAAAGTTAGTGTAGGGTGGTGCTGTAAGAAATTGCTTTCCTACATACAGATTCAATTCTCATTAAAAAATACCTTGATGTAGGTAAGTTTCAGGTCATTTTTGGGTCATCTTTGGGGACAACTCAGGGAAACATCTAGCACAGTTTTTTTAAGAATTGCATGTAAAATGGATGCTATAAGAAACAGGAGACAAACCGTAAAATGGACAAAATGTCACTAAAAAGTCTGTCAAAATACGCTCTCATTTCACCCCAGAGAGTGTTACAGAACCAAATGTAAGCAAAAAAAATTAAGTTTTTGTTAATCTTTTTTCTCTTGTTCCACAGTCGTTTTTACTTTGTATTGTGAAGCACTTTGAGCTGCATTTTTATTGTATGAAAGGTGCTATATAGATAAACATTATTATTATTATTATTATTATTATTTTTATTATTATAAGCAATAAGGAACTCTTTCAGCTATGCTAATATGTTTAAGAGCTGTAGTTTTTGATTAGTCATTCTGAGTCTCCCTAAAGCTATCCAGCTAACCCCAGCCATGCAGATGTGACTTCATGGCCAGTTGTTTCCCAGATGCTGCGCTGCTATGATGAATATTCATGGACTGCCGTTAACAAGGTCAGCAAGGCCTGATGCAGATAAAGAAAGCGTCTGGATGCCGGCTTGGGTACACTCATCTGCCACATGCTGTGCCTGAAATTTATGAGGACGCCACAGCGGCCTCTCTCTCTCTCCTCTTTTCTCTCCCACTCTCTCTTGCAGCCTCTATGATCCCATTCTCCTCTGCTGGATTGCCTGCCTAATGGCCACTGACAGTTAGAGCTCGAAATAGCAACATCAGCCCCTCTGTCCCCATACTCCAGCTTCGTCCATTTTTCTCTCTTCCCTCCATACTATCTCCATGTCCCTTTTTCTTTCCTCCACCCAGCCTCTTCTGAAGCTGACTTCATTCCCAAACATCTATTCCAACATCTTAAAACTGAGAGGAAAAAAAAAGTCCTTTGATAAACCTGTCAGACTCCATCAGCTCTTCTCCACTTTTAGGTGAAGTGTGACTGACGGGCTCAGCTGAGCTCCTCCACGCTCTCACAAGTTCAGCTCCTTGCAGCATAATTACCAAAAACGTGTGAAATCTAGATGGTAGAGGCAATGGAGCTGAGGAGTGAGTGAGACAGAAGATGACGGCTCTCCAAAATCACAGAAGAACACTGAAGTACTGCCACTCCAGCATGCAGCCTAGCAGTGACAGCAGACCTATCGCTGTGGTCAGCACACAAATTTTATATAGACTAAAATATTTTTCTTTTACATGAAAATCAAACACTACTGATTTATGACAAACATATTTCCTTTCTAAGTGGAAATTAATGCTGATTTGAAAATAAAACATAAAATACAAAAACTGCCAGAACTTTTGCACAGGCCACATTTTATGTCTTATTTTCTCTCCAACATGTAAAGTCCAGCAAATAAATAGTAACTGTGCATGAAAATGTGCAGAAGCATGCTCTGTAGAGGATGCATTTACTTATTTTCACTTAGGAAATTAACAAAACATGTCCTTTAACCAGGGGTGTCTAAACATTTGAATAAGACTGTACTACAAACAGAAAATGTAAAGCACTGAGATAAGCAACTAGGCCCATTGGAATAATGGCAACAATGTCAAGTTTTGTAGTAGTGAGTCGCAGCAGTTATATCACATTTCCAGTTACTGTGACTTAGGAGTCCTACACAAATTCTATAACATGAATGACTGAAACTGAACTGAAGGATGAATTTGAAAACAAAAAAAAAAAAACATGAAATGTTGAATGTAAGAAGTAGCAGGAAATGAAACCCAGATTATTTCACTGACCACTAGAGTGAATCTCGCAGCTCTACATTTCCAAAAATGTCAAATGCACATACTGTCCCTGAAATCACTAAGCTAAAGTCTTTCAGTTTGGTTCAGAATTCAATTGGTAATTCAGAAGGTATGAATTATCAAAATAATAACATTCAAATTTGGATTTTTTTAATTAAATTTAGATTTTAAATAAAGTTAAAGGTAAGTATATTTTTCTCATATTTTCAGTATGAGACTGGGCTACTTATCCATAAAGACATTTCTTCATGACCATCTTTACTAAAGATGCCAATAATTATAAAGCTGACTGCACAGTCTTAATGTGGTTCAAGGGTTATTTAGCGAAGGCAGTGATTGTGGTTATATACAAAACTTTGAACAATTAAAGAATGATTTCAATGCACAATGTTTGTTTGCAGTTCAGAAAATGGTTCTTTTAATGTGTGGCACTCCGCAGACCATGACGGTTATTGTTTTTTATATTCTCCATTACATTACTACTACTACTACTACTAATAAAAATAATAATGTTATTACATATCTACATATCTACATGACAACGATATCCCCATGATGAAAAACAAGTATATAGTTCTTTAAATTCTGGGGATTTGGAGACCTCTCTGGTGGAAAAGTGTAATTGCATGCAATGTGTGGAAGAACATCTTGCAGTGTGGGTTGAGCTTCGGTTCCTCAAATGTGGATGAATGTGAGCACGTTGGAAGAGTATTCAAAGAGAACTCAGTCAAAACTTGGTGAAGGACGTGTCTTCTGAGGATACGAGTGAATTATCTACTATTGCCATCATATTTTCATCAGTATAATACTGTCACTAAACATGGAGCTGGACCTTCTTTTTGAGGCTGTACGTGACATTTTTAATAAAATATAATAAAATAAAGACGTTTGACATAGTACAAGAAGCTGCCATGAATTCCGACCCGACAGCTCGCAGCAGTGCACGCTCACCATGTTCAGTAATGCTACTTTTTTCCATTTTAAAATAAAACCTTTATAGTACAGCATTAAAGAGCCCATTGAAAGACTTCATAAGAGTCAGAGAAGCATTTTTTGGTACTATGTATAATTTTTGCTAAGAGTATATTAGGGTATTTCTTTTAATGACTACAGACCACCATGAATATCTTTGCATTTGTGGAGCAGTACCAGTGCTGGTGGGGGAGTTAATTTCTTGCCGAATGCTCCTCCCTGATTGGATGATGACCCTGGCCGTCTCCCGCTGTGGCTCCAGGATGTCCCGGTACTTGGACACCATCAAGACAGAGATGAAGTAGACCACAGCCAGAGCCAGGAACTGAGCCTGCTTACCGTCATCCTACACAACACACACAACACATCAGGAAAACCAACAGCGACACTATTTATCTGTAGCTGTGGATCCCTACTTGAACCTTGAAGTCAAGAGAGACGGATGCTGCTTGGCATTTCAAAACCGAGTTTGGGACAAGGTCAAATGAGGAAGCGTTACTCTTTCTTGGAATACTTTTTTTTTTTAATCAAATGATGACCCTAAATATTAGCAGACATAAACCAAGTGCAAGCCAAGAGAGATATAATCAGAATAATATAAACACAACCTTTATAGGCGAGTCCGCTAAAAAAGTGAGTGTTTGCTCAGTTCCATTTTACTTACGACGTCGCGGAAAACAACAGCGCGCAGACGATTGATGTCCACATCCTGCAAGAGGCGGTCCGGGTCCACGATGGGGGAAAGGTTACTGGGGAAATTGTCTATGGAAGTCTGAAGCAGAAAAGCAGAAGGATAATTTTACACCACTTTTCATGAGACTCAGAATAAAAAGTATAAAACAGCAAGACTGTCACTGAAGGAAAAAATGAGAATGAGATAAAAAAGGAACTTCTTTCTTGTATAAAATGTGTTGAATATAACTCGGCTATACTTGCTATCGGTGCCTGAGTGATATAAACATTTTGAGGCTGATGCCAATTTTAATGGGCTAAAACATCTGATAACCAATGATATCAATCAATGTATTTTAATATTAATATTTTTGTTTTTGATTTTATACTCCAATAGTCAAACAGTCATATGCACATGTGCGCCCTGGTCAAATGATATGTTTTGTTGATTTTCTAAGTGGAAATAAGTTAACACATAAATATAACACACACTACAGAGAAAACACTGCACATCTTACTGCACAATTACTGTTTATTTACTGAATTAAACATGGCAAAAAACATAAATTAGGCATATATAAAGGTATTGGCACATTTAATATTCAGTTATCTTTTCCAATATGTAAAATTTAGCAAATAAATTGAAATTATGCACCGTAATCTGCAGAAAAATATTTAAGTCTGTTTACTCTGGATGATGTGTTAACTGACTTTCACTTAAACTTTGGCATATGACTAAGATTGTTTAGACTGATATGATTGTCAGTTGCCAACTGTGTGTTGTTAAATATGTCTGTTCTAAATGGTCCTTCAAACTACAATAAGCAGTAGAAGCTCACAGTCTTAATTATTACAAATATTGCAGCATTAGTTTGGTTCCTGTTAATTTATTTTTTGTAATTTTCATAAATTTTCTTGATTCTCATGAAGGTCAGGTTTGAATTCATTTTACATGCTTTCTAACAATTATGGTGCTTTGGTGTTTTTCAAGTTGGACTTTCAAGTATCTCAGCTGTATATATATATATATATATATATATATATATTGTTGCTCTCGGAAGAAAACAGCGTATCTCCAAAATTATATCTTTAGAGGAGAGAAAAAAACCTGCTTTACTTTTAATGTAAGTCAATGAAACCAGACTTTTTCCAAGTCATTTTAGGGCTGTTCCTTTTAGTCCATTCTTAATGAAATTTACATACAATGTAAAGAGCAATAGGCATTTCAAATTATGTCAAAAACTGAAAGATGCCAAAAATGGAGATACGAGGTTTTCTTCTGACAGCAGCGATGTTGTGTAGTTTACAACATAAAATTTACACTGTATAGGATTTTATGAATAAATGATTAATATGACAAGTGATTCCAAATCTTTGAACATTAATGTGATCTAAGATCATGTGTTTTTACTTGTAAAGTACTGTATAACATTAGAATAAGTACAAATAAGTGTTATCCTCAGACAACTAATAATACAGTGTGACATATTTAAGTGAAAATAAGAATTTCAATAGTAAGTTCTAGATATCTTGATATTTGGTTAGAACAACACAGGTTGGTGCACTTCCTCAAAGAGAAAAATGGAAACACACAGATACACAGAATCATAATTTACTGGATTAATGTTACCTCGTATTTACTTTAATGTTATTGTTTCTCTGCGCAACTCAACTCAAAGGCCACATAGTTTAAAACTGATTTTTAGGTTGTCAGACTTTTGCACTGCAGTGTGAGCCAGCTTATTCTTTTCGTTTGCACAGGTTGGTGGGATGACCCAGTTAAATACACAGAACATCATATTAGTGAGCGGTCTCATTAGAAGTGTGAAAAGGGAAGGATTTAGAAATGTGGGCACCTTGCTGGTCACCGCTGTGCTCTGCAGGCTCTCCTGAGGCTTCGTGCTGGACAGAGAGGATTTAAATCCCCTGTCCCTCTGACGCTGTCTGCACTCCAAACAGCTCCGCACAGCCACACAACACACTGAGAAAGGGAGAGAGAGAGAGAGAGGGAGGGAAAGACAGAAAGAGAAAGGAATTCAAGTTCAAGAAATAACAACAGCCACAAACTGACCACTGACCAGCCACAAACATTAACAAAGTCATAAAAGCACAAAAATAATTTTACAACAAAAACAGGCCACATATAAAATCACACGGATGTACCCTGATGCATCAGTCTGGTGTCAATGCAACTGCATTTGTTTTAGAATGTTCCAATTAATTCTAATTAAATACAATAATATTCAATTAAATATCAGTTTTTTTTTTTGGCCACAATAAAATTTTCATTTTTTTTTTAACTAACTGGCAAAAAAGTGAACTGGCCACCCTCCGTGTCTAAAAGGACAAATCCAATAGAGTAAATGAATAGTTCAGCACTTGCATAATTCATTCAAACTCACAGATTAGTTAAAATTAGTTAAACTCTTAAATTAATTTAAAAAAATAAGGAAAGTAACATTTTATAATAAATTGAAAATGAAGATGGAAATCCTGTCCACTAGCTCATACATAATGCCAGCAAAATATGTTCCATTAACTTTATTGAAGAAAAATATGCATAGTTCCATTGTGGAACCTCCTCCAAAACAAGGGGAAACTGACTTTAATGGCTACTGTGAAAAGGGGGTTAAACAAAGTGACCACCAAAGCTCTCCTATGATCATCCCCATTCTGCAGTACAGCACAGAAGGATGTTTTCTGTCCTACAGCAACATGTAAAACTCAGCATAACTCTGCTCGACTGTTTCTGCAGATGATGGTAATGTGGCCGAGCTGTGCTTGTTTAGCATAGGCTACAACTTACCTAAGTAATTAATTATTCCACTTCTGAGCTTTGTAAGTAGTAAATTTGACCATAGTAAAGAAAACAAAGTTCAATATATAAAATAATCATAAGAAAATCTTAAAAAGTATACTTAGATGCATATTTTGTGCTTTGTGCTATAAAAGGCAGGACTCACTGTGGTGAGCTGTCACTTGTTAGAGTAACCAGAAAAATATGTGATCATTAATTGAAAATGTCATTTTGTTTCTCTCTCTGGTTATGAAAGCTACAATAAAGCAGCAGCTTTGTCTCTGAGCAAAGCCCCCTGCTTTGCATCAGTCCATCTCAGATGAGCTTTAGCCCGGAGAAGTCGGCGGCGTTTCTGGATATTTTTGATGTATGGCTTCCATTTCACTGTTTACTGACAAGGGTTGTCTGGAGTATTCCAAAGCCCATGTGGTCATATTCATTAAAGAAGCATGCCGGTTTTAATGCAGTGCCATCTGAGAAATCGAAGGTCATGGGCATTCAGCCTTGTATTTCAGCCTTGCCTTTTATGCACAGAGATTTCCCTGACTCTTTTGTAAATATTCTGCAACATAAAGGGGGTAATACCTGAAGTCCTTGCAAATGCTTGCTAAGACACATTATTCTCAAACCCAATGTTTTGGAACATTTTAGGCATCGGTCTGAGAATGAGGGTGTATTTACAAAAAAATAATGAAGTTTAAAACATTCAATATCTTGTCTTTATACTTTTTTCATTTAAATAAAGGTCCAAGTGAATTTTCAAATCTCTGCTTTCTGTTTCTATTTGCAATCTACCTATTGGGTTTGTAGGTTAGCCCTGCTTTTCTTGGGTCAGGACATTTTTCTCTTAAAACCATGTGTAAACAGCCACACATGCACTCACCGAGTCTGAGGCACTGGCGCATTAGTCCTCCAGACGACATGTTCTTCTCAGCCTCTATCTCACTGAAGTTGAGGGAGCTGGCAAACACTAGCACATCCACCATGGACATGAGTCGAGACAGAAAAGTCACCGCCATGTCAGAGGACATGCCTTGGGTCACCTCAATCCCTTCCAGCTCAGACTGGCGCACACACACACACACACACACACAAACACAACATCACAGCAGTGTCGAATTCAGATCTTCACAATCTCAAACGATACACAACACTGCTGCCTCTGACACACCTCAGTATCAGAATCACTGCTGTCCTTAGAATGATCAATGGAAACAACACTCTCAGAAAAAGGGTATGAAACAGTCACTGGGGCAGTACCCGTCTCTCCACCACCCAAATAATATCTTTTCAGTAGTGGTCCTAGGGCGGTCCTTGCAGCATTTTTATAATGATGATATCAGCATGATATCAGATTCATATACTCTAATGGAGACAACACTTTCAGAAAAAAGGGTAGTAAACTGTCACTGGGGCAGTACCCCTCTTTTTACTGGGGTGGCACCCTCAAGGGTTCATCTCAGTACCTTTAGTCAGGGAACATAATTGTACTATAATCCATTGACACTATATTTTATAAGTTGTATTGACTCCACACACCCAGCTCGTCTCCAGGCTTTATATTTTACTGTTCTGTTTTAAAACATTAGGTTATGAAAAGGTACAAATCTGTACTTTTCACCTGGAAAAACTTAATTAAGGTGCACAATTGGACCTTAAAACCACTGTTGTACCTTTGAGGGTCCATTTACATTGTTTGTACCTTGATGAATGAAAAATGTACCTGCACAGAACCTTTATTTCTTCTTCTTTATTATTTTTATTTATTACTACACCATCAGAAAAAAAAGTACTGAGCAGGTACAATTTATGTTTATCAAGCAATGTTAATGGACCCTCAAAGGTACATCAGTGGTTTTAAGGTCCAACTGTGTACCTTAAATAAGTTTTTTTTCCCAGGAAAAAGGTACGTATTTAAACCTTTTCATAACCTAATATTTCAAAACAGATCAATAAAATAAAAAGCCTGGAGACGAGACAAGGTGTGTGGAGTCAATATATCTTTAAAAAATAAAAATCTCAAAGAAATATTGTACAATTATGATCCCTAAATAAGGTACTGAAGACATACTCCTGAGGGTACCACCCCTGTGACAAGAGGGGTACCACCAAAGAAAGATTATAACCTTTTTTTCTGAGAGTGTATAGCTGATAAGCTGGGCATTCAATCGTTTCAATCAGTGGGAGATTAAGTGCAAGGCATCCCATAATAATTTCACAAATGTGAAATATGAAGCTAAAGTATGGTGATGACGCAGCCTTATGCCAGCAGTATACTTCAAAACAACTTTAGAAACAAAATTATGTATTTTTGGCCAAAACAACACGATGGTTTGAGTTATTTAATAGTGCTGACTATGAAACAGAAACCCTAATCACTACAGGGTTCGTTCTGGGATCTCCCAATGATGCAACTGGTCCAAATCACCACACTGTTTGTTCTAAGACCTCCCCCTGACTGTGATTGGTCCTAATATCCACATTGTCTTAGACCTCCCCCTGACTGCTCTGGTCCTAATCACCATGTTGTTAGGTGAAGTTCATTCTGAGACCACCCCCTGACTGTGACTGGTGCTAATCACCATGTCGTTAAGTGTAGTTCATTCTGAGACCGCCCCCCTGACAGTGACTGGAGCTAATCATCATGACGTTTGGCGTAGTTCGTTCTGAGACCACCACCCTGACAGTGACTGGAGCTAATCATCATGACGTTTGGCGTAGTTCGTTCTGAGACCACCCCCCTGACAGTGACTGGAGCTAATCATCATGACGTTTGGCGTAGTTCGTTCTGAGACCACCCCCCTGACAGTGACTGGAGCTAATCTCCTGTTTGTTCTGAGACCTCCTCCTGACTGTGTTTGGTTCTAAAAACCAACTTGTTTTTTCTAAGACCTCCCTTTAGACTGCAATTGCTCTTAATCACGTTGTTTGTTCTGAGACCTCCCCCTGACTGCGATTAGCCCACATATCACAAGGTCAGCTGCGTCACTGCATGGAACGAGCCTCCAGTGGTGCTGAGTAATAAATGCGTACATAAGTTCTTTGTAGTTTTACTTACAACAGTGTGTTTGGCAGTCGTTCTAGTTTAGTTCTTCTGTTGCTATACTGCCAGCTTTGTGCAGCCATTCAGACTTTTCACTTTGTTCCACTCTAGAAGAATTTCAGGCCTGACACTTCTGCCACCTCGGTGTTGTCACTCAGTGTTAAAATTGGTTGTCAAAGTTCTCTCAAAGTGATCAGCTCCACCTCTAAGAGAACTTGGGAGTGGAGTGAATGACAGCATCCTCAGAATAGTTTACAAAGCAAATCGTTGTTGCTCTCTTTTATATAGTTATGCCTTTCAGTTCTGCTATGATTGATGATACAGAAACATGCTGGTGCTTTCAATTTGTTTCCCTTTATTAGCTTGCTGTGCTAAGCTGGAACCAAGTGGGGAAAAAGTACATTTTTGCAGATCTCTGGATGGTTGTACCAGATTAGAAGTGAAAGGAGACATAGAACACAATTTTTTTGACAAGACATGAACTTTCACATTCACACAATGCCCACACAATCACTGAATGCTAACAGCAGACATGCAGTGCTGAGTGGGAAGACCCTGATGTTGTTTTTCTATCCGAGCCAGGAAGGTGTAATAGTATAAAGTAAGAGTGGGCAAAAATATAACGCCTTAACACTTGGAGACATTTTTATGGTAGAGAAAAGTTTAAAAAGCATAAACGGCAGGAAAAACAAACGATTGGTAAAAAAGTTAATACTGGAATGACATTCAGCTACTTACTATGCAGTTTATATATCACTGCTGTCAGAACCAAACCCCATATCTCCAAAATGGTAACTTTACAGGAGAAGGAAAAAACATACTTTATTTTTAATGTAAGTCTATGGAACCAGAAATTTTCCAAGTAATTTTGGGCCATTTCTTTTGGTCCACGCATCATGAAATTTACACACAATGTAAAGTTTAAAAGGTACTTTCAAATTATGTCAAAAACTGAAAAACGACAAAAATGGAGATACAAGGTTTTGTTCCAACAGCAGCGATATCCTGGTTGTTTTTTACAGGCTCTCTATAATTGGTCTAAATCCTTTTAATGATACATGCAGTTATTCAGTGTTCTAGAGGTCCTGAACATACAGAAAAGGGTACAGTGACATTTATTCCAATAGTGATAAAAATATCGAGAAGGGTCTGGCTGCAGACATGCACTCTCAGCCTGACATGCACCACCAGCCTATTGATGACGTCAGTGCCGCTCTGCCACGACAGTGTTTTTGACGGTTTTATGAGAAAAAACAGTGAAACACGAACTGCTGGGCAACAAGAGTTACACTGAATGTATATTAACGTTGCCATACTGATAATAAGGTAATTAAATATGGATACTTTCAAAATAAAACCTACCATGACAATGAGACATGAATGTTAGGTTTATTCGCAGAAAAAACAAAAAGGCTACTGAAACTCATGAAAGCCAAGCTGAAGACAATTAAAACCAGTTATCAAAAACTGTAATATTGATAAAATAGAACTCACTAATGATTTTTGGAGGTTGTGACAACGTATAGTCAGAATAGTTCCGATTACTTTTTCTGTCTCATCGACGTCGACACAACCTGCTAGAAAGTTGTCAGACAACATTGTCAAAACTTTCTGAGGAATTACATTTCAACGATGTGACAATGTAGAAAAGCACCAAGCAGACGACGCTGCAGGCACCAAAACAGTACGTTGTCACAACGTAACTGTGTTTGCAGGGCCGTTAGAAATGAAACCTGATGGTTTCGCTTCCTAACGGGAATTGGCTTGATGGTTGCCATTAGAGGCCATTAGGAAACGAACAAATGTATCTAGAATCAGTCCAGAAGACCTGATAAAACAATCAGAATCCTTTACACTGTGATATCAACCCATCAGGAAAACACAGAACACCATTAGCGACTACTGAAAACCACCAGGAACCAACAGACACTTTTAATGGGTTCTATGACTGTTTTCAACAGGGTGCAATGTAATTCTCTAGCCGAGTTATGGACGAAAAATAGATCGTGATGATATCGCTAAGCACCAGTAGCCAAAAGTTAATGGGCCGTTGGGCTGTTTCTGCCATTGTGGCAGAGAGTGCATGTGCCATGTACGTCACTGGGGCTGAGAGTGCATCTGGCTGGGAGTGCATGTCTGCAGCCAGACTCTATCTTAATGCCCATCTCTAGGATAAAGATTGTCTAGCAGCCTGTTTGCTAGCTCTGAGAGCAGCACCCACCTGACCGATAACATTACACATCTGCTGCCCTGACACTCTCTCTTCAGGCTTTCTCTCCTTCTGATAGCTAGCCTCTCTCTACCACAGGAAACAAAGTGCTGACAGCAAGCGAACTGAAAAGACAACACTACAAAAATGGTATCTTGGCACATGAAACCATCGTAAATCTAGTGAACATGTCAAATATTTGTAATTATAAGAATACTACAAGATTATTCAACTTATTTATAGATTGTTTTACTTAAGATATCACTACATATAATTAGTTAGAAGTAGGTTGAAGGTCAGTGTTCATAAGGCCATTCATAAGCCTTTTCATGATTGAAATAAACTTACATTGATATTTATAAAGTCTGTTTGTAAGAGACCCTTCTTGAAATAAGTCCTTATAAGAGTTTATGTCTGTCAGTTGTCATTGAGAGCTTATGTAGATGTCATTTGGCCTTATGAATGCTGCTCGTCAGGAAAACGTTAGAAAAACGTTACTGAATAATCGTATGCTATCCTTACAAGAGAGACATAATTGATACTATGAGAAATAATATATTTTTGAAGGTGTTTAAGGTGATTTCACTTGCCAAAACATCATTTTTTGCAGGGACAGTTGTACTGATGGCCTTCATTTTATTCATGTGGACATGATGAACTCACTTCAGCCAAATAGATTCCATGTAAAGACAGATGCTCTAGCTGTCTATCGACTGCCGCTACCCGCTTTACTCATCCATCAGCTACACACTAAACTTCTGATCAACTGCACCGAATATTAAACGACTCTGCCCTGAAAACAACTGCTCACAAAACTGACTGGCATCACTCTTCCGTGCTCGAGAGAACAAATGAATATTAATGTGTCTTCTCCTGTAGGACAAATGAAAACAACATAATGAACTTGCTGAACAGGACAATTTAAATGTTTTGGATGGAAATAGCTATTTGTAGGCAGTTTCTGTATATGGAAATTTTACTTTTTTTCATTTAGAAATGAGCAACTGTATGGAAATATGAGCGATGGCATTTATAGATGAGGTTTTGGCACTATGTTTATGAAAGAATAAACAAGCAGAAGCCAGAGAGAGAATGAAGATTTATACTAACCTTGGTGCTCTGAAGGACGAAGAAAATAGCAAAGAAAATAATACAGGATTAGCAGCACTACAACACCAGAATAAAGCATGTAAATTAATCACTAACTGGCACTTATTATTATTACACTGAAAAACCCCACAGAACTTGTGCTGATTAGTCAGTCAGTCTCATTGATTTGAAATTTCCTTCAGATTCATGCTCAGGTAAGCTCAGAGCACAAAAATATGCACATTTTTTTCATTTATAAATAAGCAACTTATGTTTCAATTTTTCAAATAGAGAAGAAACAGTCATGTTCTATTAAACCAAGCAAGTTTAGATGAATAGTTCAGTCAGAAATGTTAATCATGCTGAGAGAGAATAAAATCATATTCTCCATTCACCTTAATGTCAATGACATCATGTTAATTTGTGACCTTCTAGCTTCTGTGCCTCATTAGTGAGGACAGAATGTTTGGTGGAGCTAGTCCAATAAACAGAGTTAGAACTTTATAGATGCACTACTGGCTGACCACCAGAAGATGGTGCTAGAACCACTTACAGAGGGTGAGGTAGCAGCGGAGAGCAGAGGCAGTATTCCTCCACAAGCAATGATGATGTTGTCCACCATCTGAGAGATGAGGTGTATAGTGTTGTGCACAAAGATGATGTTTTCATTGCTGTTCACAAAGTCCATGACTGACTTGGTGGAGTGGCTGTGTGAGAGAGAGAGAGAGAGAGAGAGAGAGAGAGAGAGAGACAGAGAGACAGAAAGCAAAAGTGAAGGAAAGAAAAAGTAAGAGACATAAGGAGGAGAGAAACAAAAGTGAGAGAAAGAGAGAGAGAGAGAGAGAGAGGAAAAACCAGCAAGAGAGAAAGAAAGGGACAAAAACAGCAAGACAGAGAGGGAACGAGAAAGTAAAAGACATTTATGTTTGTAAAAGAAAGAAAGAGAGAAAGGACAATGTAGACAGAAAACAGCAACAGAGAGAAAAGGAAAGACAGGAGAGGGAGAGAGAGGTGAGTGAGAGAGAGAGGGGGGGGAGAAGAGAAAGCAAAACATGAAAAAAAAATAAGAGATGTAAGGTGGAGAGAAACAAGAGTGAGAAAAAGAGTGAGCAAAAGCAAGACAGAAAGTGAGAGAGAGAGAGAGAGAGAGACAGAGAGAGAGCAGATAAAGTAAAAAGTGAAAAGTAAGAGATGGGAGATGGAGAGAAAAAGAGTGAGAAAAAGGGAGAGCAAACGCAAGACGGAGAGTGAGAGAAAGAGAGAGAATAACAGCAAGACAGAGAGGGAAAAATACAGCAAAATAAAGAGAGAAAGGACAACATACACAGAAAAAGCAAGAGAGAGAAAAAAAGCAAGAAAGGGAAAGATAGAGAAGAGAGAGAGAGACAGAGAGAGAGGAGCAAGAATAAGCGAGAGAAAGAGAGAGAGAGAGAGAGAGAGAGAGAGAGAGAGAGACACTTGGATGGGCAGGGGGTCTATTATATTTCATTCCTTCCATAATTAATGCAGTGACAAAGTAATTACATGTCAATGTCAATCTTCAATATAGTGCATTATGACAATTTAATCACCAATAATTTAGTTATTACACTGTAATAACCATTGTACGTTAAAATTCCATATGAATAATGAAACGAGAAGCCACTGACCTTCTCCACACGTGGACGTCTGCCTCCAGGGCGAAGAGCAGGTCAGTGAGTAAGCGCTGGTGCATGGGGGACCATTTGAATTCTGGGATGCGGAACATGGTGGTGCGGGGTCCGGGGCTGAACTGGCGCCGCTGCTCTTCAGTCATGGGCATGGCCCTGAAGCCCAGGTCCACTCGCATGTCCCTGTCCATGTGAACACCTGCTCGCCCGTGAACACCCTGAAAGCACAGGACTATCTCTCAACACTGTACAAACAGAGGCTTTTTGAAGAAGCTTCAGATGCCTGCAGAGGAACTTTATGTAAAAAGCTAACAGCACTGTGTTGTGCACATTCTGGCTAAAACTTATTTATAAATGTCTCTTTGAGTCCTATGAAGAACAATTAGTTTATGTATTACTACTTTAATTACCTATGACATCCATACTGACTGAGATGTGGGGAAAACAGTAATGAGTACAATCCAGTAATCTTCTGAGGGTCTCTCACTTATTATGGACACCATGGCCACCGACAAAACTAGGCATATGGGTGCATCCTAAGTAAAGTGGGTGGGGAGGGGAAGGCCATACGCTTTGGAGGCTCAAATCACTGGGTTTTTATTCTGAAGTCTTGGGCTTGTTATTTTTGGAGTTTATTTTGAGTGCTGGCACGGCAGGCGCTGAAAAAGTTCTATTTGACAACATTTCTCTATCTGAGCCAAAACAATCTGTGTGGTACATAATTAGAGCTCTGCATAATCACGAGTTAACACAAAAAAAATGGAATAACTGGTGAAACATTGACCTCAGAAGTGTGTCCAACCCTGAAAATATGTTTACTGCCACACCTCTACAAAATACAAGAGTACAATAATACAGTGACCATGATTTAAATTAAGCACTGAATGTGTTTAAATGCACTCAATAATTGGATCATAGTCAGATTTCTGCAGTTAGCTGATTATTCAAGTGGTCATGTAAACAGCACACTCTGATTGCTTAGATCGAGGTAAGGTCTAGAAATGCGATTAAGAAATTTGATAAAGAGAGCTTGATTTTAACTCAGTAATCAGATTTCTCTGTGCTTGTAATCTCTTACTCTGATTTCTTTCAGATTTCTTAGCCTGCGAATGTGCGAAACAGACTGTTGTACCAGAAATAAGTAAGCAGAGCTGGCGTAAGATGGCAACAAATCACTTTTGCAGCAATGCTGAAACAAACTACATGCTTGATGAAATGAAGGATTTAAATATTCTTCATTTTCTAAATGATGTATGTTCATATTTTCAGCTGAAGAGGTTTAAAATGTTTAATGTTTAAAAAAAAAGTCACGGCAGGAAGTTTGAGTTTTATGTTACGTTTTCTTCTGCGAGTTTATTGGCTGGTTGCAAAGCAGAAAACTAATTACTGACCGACTCATATAGACCCGGAGTTTTCACATTATCTGATTACTCAAGTGCATATAGACACGTTGATCGGATTACTTTCTGCAGTTACTATTATTAAGTGTATGTAAACACACTCAATGTTTCCCCATAAACATGAAAATTCTTTAGATAGAATAATTTAAAGGGACCATATACTACATGGTTCTTGTATTTGATTTTTTTCTCCAGAGGTTCACTTCTTATGTTTACGTGATTTTACAATTATATACAAGTTTGGGTGCCCCTGGTCAAATTACATGTATTATTGATTTTCTAACTGAAATAAAGTGAACACATCCTCTACAGAGAATAGATTTTTTGCACACTTTAATTCACAATTACTGTTTATTTGCTGAATTTAACATATTGGGGGAAAATAACATATGGCCTGTACAAAAGCTATGGCACATTTTATATTTTGTGTTTTTTATATGTTAAACTAAATAAATTCTGGATTAAATAAATTGTGAATTCCATAAATTGTGGATTAAAATGCAAAAAACTGACATAATTCTTAATGTAGATGACGTGTTAACTGATTTTCACTTAGAAAATCTACAAAACCTGTAATTTGACTGGGGCTGTTCAAACTTCTGCATACAACTGTGTGTAACAAACACAGCTGGAAGTTGGTTATTTTCAAACTCTCTTTAACCTTTAGAGTTGAACAGGTTGTTTCTGTTACTGTGCCTTTAAAACCAACATATGTATATTATCTTTGTTCTGATTGGCTGCCCTGTACTCGGCCTCCTTCAAAAAGCAATCCAGACTGAATACTCTTTATAACTTTAGTGTCAACAGGTGTATATTTGTAAATGTGTGGGCTTTCATGGCATTACAAAAAGAGCAAATTAAAAACAGGTTTCCATACCTGTACTTCATGTAGGTGTATTGGGGTATGTTTTGGAATTTTAACAACATGTCTACATATTAAATTATACTTTTTTATTTAAAAAAATGGGTTTTCTTGATTTCTAATATAATTTCAACCAATACGTAGCCCCCAAAGGAGCCGTAATAATATTTCCAATAATTATTAGTATTTTAATTATTTAACTAACTTTCTTAAGGGCTAATCTAAAGAAACTAAGAAACTTTAACAGTTCACCCTAACAAACACCAATCGATTGATTCATTGATGCATTCACTGTCATGATTGTCAGGAACGCATCATTTCTGTGCATTTCATCAGCAGCTCAGGCTGCCGACTGTGTGCAGAAACACTGCCTGCCTGTCGAACTAATTCAATCTGCCGCCCTCACACCTCTCAACACTCCTCACACTGAACAGAAACACTCAAACACAAATAAGAAACTGAAAAGCATCCCTGCCTCCAGGGACATCCACTAGAAGCCACCAGCAGAGGGTCCTTAGAAAAACAAGGCAGTACACTTTAAGAATCTGTCCCTGTTGACAGACAGACTTCTATGACAAGCTTAAACTCATCAAATATGTCACCTACGTGACAGTGCATTTACTTAATATATTAAACATGATCTCTGCTGTACTGCACAAGGTAGACCAGTGCGAACTGCAAAAAGGCTCAACAAAATCCGCTGTGGGATAAAAGTAGGTCAAAAACCAAAGGCCTTAAATTGGAAATGAGAAAATTATGCAACTGCAGGAAGGAACTAAAAATAGCTTCATAACCCACACATGCTCTGCTAATGCGATTTCTCTGAGAGAGCTGGCTGACCTTTACTAAGAGCTAAACACTAAGAAAACTGGACACATTTGTGCCAATTAAATCACGTAACATGAACAGATCCTCTTGACCTATTCCACATCTATGACGTAAGCGTATATCCCCCTCAAAAGTTTGGGGACACCTGGTTTTAAGCTCATTTTCACATAAATGAGTACATTTGGAATACATTAACATATTTAAGTTCTGATCTGGGGCCTGACTCATAAAGCATGTCTAAGGGTTAATGACTAAGTTTCAGCTTCACAAAAGCTAACAAATGCAGGCTGTGATTAATCATCATGCGGGTGCACATAAAAGGGTGACATTTATGATGAACAGCCCAGTCACTCGCAGGAAACATGAAGAGGCGTCAAAGAGCTTTTTTTTCAAATAAGGAAAATTATGCTATGTGAATATACAGAAAATGGAGATCAGTATATGTACAGCATATAATGGTAGGAAAAACAACTACTGTCACTGTGTTAGTGCTTACTGGAGTCATAACTGCTTTATATTCTTCATATTCTTAATGTTTTACCTGCTGAATAAAGATATTTTTTAACATAACTGATGCCACAAATTTATCAAACCATGTTTTTTATGGAGCTCGCTTTGTGCACAGGGGCTCAGTCATGCTGGAACAGGAAAGGGCCTTCCATAAACTGTTGACACAAAGTTGTAAGCATTTAACTGTCTAAAATGTCTTTGTATGCTGTATCATTAACATTACCCTTCACTGGAACTAAGGGGCCCAAACCCTAAAAAACAGCCCCAGATGATTATCCCTCCTCCACCAAACTTTACTGTTGGCACTATGCATTCAAGTAGGTAGCGTTCTCCTGGCATCCACCAAACTCAGATTTGTCCAGTAGACCGCCAGATAGTGCAGCATGAATCATCACTCCAGAGAACACGGTTACACTGCTCCAGAGTCCAATGCTGGCATGCTTTACACCACTCCAGCCTATACTTGGCAATGTACATGGAGATCTTAGGCCTGTGTGCAGCTGCTCGGCCATGGAAACCCATTTCATGAAGTTCCAATGCACAGTTCATACACTGATGTTGCTTCCAGCAGAAGTTTGGAACTCTGTAGTTAATGAAGCAACAGAGTATGGGAGATTTTTATGTGCTATGCACTTCAGCACTCAGCAGCCGAACTCTGTGAGTTTGCACAGTCTGCTGCTTTGTGGCTGAGCTGTTGTTGCTCCCATTTCACAATAATAGCACTTACAGATGACGGGCAGATCTAACAGGACAGAAATTTCACAAACTGACTTGTGGCACAGGTAGCACTCTATGACACCGCCATGTTTTAAATCAGTGAGCTCTTCAGTAGGACCCACTCTACTGCCAATGTTGCACTGCTCTGTGTTTGATTTTATATACCTGTTAGTAATGGATTTGGCTGAAACACCTGAACTCAATAATTAGGAGGGGTGTCCACATACTTTTGGCCATATATAACAGTATAAGCCTAAAGTGCCCAAACTGACTGATTAGCTGTCTTGTTTCCTAATTGTCAATACTGAAGCTGTCCCGAAAAGTGGAAAGCTGGAGCTCGGAATTATGTCATTTTCAAACATGGACTCCTCCTGAGTGTTGCAAAATATACCTAAAGTAATGGCTCTTTTATGGTAACAAAACGTTTGGTGGTACTTTTCCTTACTTTTCTGAAAAGTAACAGTAAGAAAATTCACATCTCAAAACAAGGAAAGTGGTCTCGAAACTTTTGACAGACTTTCTATAGACTTGTAACCAAAACACACTCTAGTGATTGCAATCACCTGTGTGGTGGCAGTGGTCTGGATCTTCTTGATCTCTTTCTCCTTGCTATCATCAGCCCTTTCCGTGTCTGAGTTGGTGCTGGTGGCATCTATGCCATTTTTCCCTCCAGAAGCTTCTGCCTCGGGAGCTGCTGCCTCAGCCTGCTCAGGGTTTTTGGAAGAACTCTCTGCCTGACAGGAGGAGCCAAAAGCCCCCAGACTGGGTTGGATTTTGAAGCAGTCCTCCAAAGCTCCAGAGCTGGAGGCTACATCTGATCCACCAGTCATGTGGGCCAGCAGGCCCAGGTCACTGGTGCTGGTGTGGACCTGAGGCTGTCCACCTGGAAGGGGTAAAGGCTCAGAAGGTGTTATCTCAGGTAACAAATTCTCAGCTGCACTGGTGCCCACAGGAGCAAAAAGAAAGGTGCTACTGCTGGGCACGGCATCTTTTTCTTCAGCCAATGTGATCAAAGGGCCGGTGTTTTTGTCCTCCAGGCTTGTTTTGGGCACCAAAACATCGTTCACATTGTTGTTGAGCTGCTCCACAGCAGCTGAGTAGACATTGTCCAACAGGGAGTCGACCTCCACCAGGCTTCCATTGTCCGTCACTCCTAGAGTCTCTGGAGAAAGGTCCATGTCGTCCAGCTTGACCTCAGTGGCTTCAACCTTCTCAGCCTTGATGTCCACCAGTAGGTCATGGACTTCAACCCGCACCCCTGAGACTGGGTTCTCAACTTCAGGTCCTTTTGCCTCTGCCAGAAGGTTCCGTCCAGGTTCCGTAGTCTCAGGATCATCTGCTTCACTCTCAGGAGTTTGGGTTTGAGAATTGTCGTCTAGCTCTAAAGTGCCCTTGATGGCAGAGGCCTGAGCAGAAAGACCAGAGATGGTGCTGACGAGTCCTTTTTTACCCTTCTTGATGTTCTCCTCCTCCTGCCGTTGGTACTCCTCATACATCTTGGCTAAATATTCCTTATGGGCTTCATATGTCACCTGAGGCAACAGAAACAGATGGTTTTCAGAGGTGATTCATTATTTGCTGCTAAATTATAAAGTATAATTATAAATCTTACTGAATAATCAACTTGCAAGGCAATGCTGACTTGCTAACTATGATGAAACAATGAGGAAAGCTGTTTGTTGTAACATCATGAAGTTAAGTAATACTCTTTACGTCCACTAGAGGGTGCCACTTTTGATCTGAAAAGTGGGTGCTTACTTTAGAGTGGGCAATGGAGAGAGTGTCCACCCACACCCGCCAGCCACCCCATTCGTGTTTGATGGCATGATACAACAGGATACGGAAGATGTTGTAGACCATCTCAGTGATCTTCTGCTCTTCAGAGGTTTTGGGGTTAATGTAGCCAAGCGAGAACATCCAGTCCTGCCACACAGAGCACTGGAGAAGACACCTAACACAAGGAAACAGGACATAAGATACATCACATCTGGTGCACTCACAAAACGTAAAGGTACATTATCATTTTCAGTAATATTAAACCAATCTGAGGCAAATATATATATATATATATATATATATATTATATATATATATATATATATATATATATAATATATATAAAATGATGACTATACATTTTTTCTGGGTGTGTATCTCTTGGTTTCTAGAAAATCTCCACATTTTTTTTCTGTCTGCAGTAAATAAAAGCCTTAGGTTGGGGTCATCAGACCAAAGGGAAACATGTCACAACGTCTAGGATGATTTAGATTCAAGGGAAAGAGAAAAAGGCACACTCTGCTTCAGATGTTTGGAATAAATTTGTTCAATATTAGAAAACTAGTTTTTATTGCACGTAAAAGTATATATTCATTCTAATATGATCCCAGCTTCCATTTGAAGGAAGCTGTAAAAATGAGATGACAGTAAATGTAGACATTTAGATGATGAACAGAGATGCAGATGATTTCATAAGACTAAAAGTGAAGTTAATGGCCTAAAACTACAATTTAATTATTTATCTTTTTTATGTTTGTCCATCAATGATCTCTCACTACAATACCAAACTTACACTAAACAAATACATCACACACACCCTGGGAATTCCTAGCACTGTGGTGAAGAAATCCTGACTGCTAACATGACCACTGACATAGAGGCTAACAAATACAGATGTGATGCTTGGCTTCCTAGTAGTAATATTAACTATCTGGCTTCCTTCTGGATTGGTCGAAAAAATCATTTTCAAAAAGCTTGTCCTCAATTAGCCACCCCAAAGTAGTTTTTCAAAAGTTCCTCCCATCTTCAATCATCAAAGGGGAATTTTCTAGCCTTTAAACTGGAAAATCTCACTCACCAGACTAATAAAGCACAGCTGTATGAAGTAATTAGGCATGTTTACAACAGATGCAGTAATGTTAATCATTTTGACCAGAGTGTTTCTTTAATAATTAAATCTTAACAATTAGTAAGCTTCATATTTGAGAAGTGGTAAAATTTCAAAGCAGATCACAACAAATAGATATTCAATGTGGTCATTCAATAACTTCATGCTGAAAACTTATATTGAGGGAAACCTTCTGGTATCTAGTAAACAATATTTTATAATGACACAAATTATTAACATGACAAATACTTCCAACCTTCTGAATGGCAGCCTATACCAAAGACCCTTGTGAAAATAAACTAAATAAACTGTGTTGTATTTTATTTGCCTCAAGGTTGTGGACAATAGACAACCTGGCAACAATTTATTTGAAGGGCGTCTACGTAACACATTCATTAGAACACTTCATATCACGTTCGTGAATGTTGAAATCAACACTCATAACGTATACATGTTTTACACTAAAATGTATGTGACATTTTACTCAAAAATATTTTTCAAAATAAGTGAAACATCTCATTTCCAGACAGCCAAAATAAAAATGACCTGATTTTAAAGAAGACATAGAGTAAAAAGGTGAAAGAATAACAAAGAGTAAAATACAAAGGCTTAAGAAAAAATAAACAATTAAAAAGAGGTTGAAAGTCTAGGCAAAAAGTGCCTAAGTGTCAAAGCACTTTCTGTCCAAAGGGGCAAAGGCGAGTCATTGAAATGAAAATTTATATAATAATTTAAAAAATAATATAGTTTTTCAAAATAAAAAAGGAGGACTTTTATTTTGAAAAATACATTTGAGTAAAATGACATAGTAGTCCATATTAACGTCATGTAAGACATACTTTATACTTTATGAATGTTGATATAAACATTCATGAGCATGTTATGAAGTGTTTATGTCAGATGTTATGAATGTGTTATGTAGACACCCTACAAGTAAACTGTTACCGGACATCTATACATGCTATTTCTGTCTGCAGTAGGTTTAGGTTGGAGCGATCAGGTCAGCGCGAGCCGATACAATCCCAGTCATGCCCATCATCCGAAGCTGGCAGCGCTGATAGATTCTCTGTGCAGCCGATGCTTCCGGGAAGTGCAGAGGTGTTGTAACAGACCCGCTCAAGCGCGAAGTGTTCGAGCGTCATTTTTTGGAGCCGCTTCCTCTAATCTTAATGACAGAGATGATGAAGTGTCATGATAAGAGCCTTCACTGCACATACTGGATAAATGATGGACTGCTTGACATCTGACAGAGCTTAGGACTGAAAGCTAGAGCGGGCTGTCATGAGAATCATCACTGACTCTGATGTGCTCATGCAGATGAGTCTGTCTGTGTGTGTGTGTGTGTGTGTGTGTGCAGCAGTGTTGGTGTGTGTGTGCGACTGCAACATCTGCCGGAAGGGAAACATGGAAACATGCTGCAAATTCAAGGATGATTTAGCGTCATGGGGGGGGCCCATTAAATACCGAACATCAAGGGAGAACAATGTCCCCCATTTGCTCCCTCCCCCACTCTGATCCATTCATCAGGTGGCTAATTGTTGTGGATGGGGGGGCTGTTGAAGAGGAAGGCTCTCTCACCGTCTGTTCTCTCGGCTGTTGCTGAAGAGCTTGATCATGTCGGAGAGAAAGAGACGGCGCACCTCCATCAGCTCGGCGCTGGGCGTGGAGTTCTTCAGCAGTGTGGCCACCACCTTCAGGATCACTGGTAAACACAAAGAGTTAAATAAACCGCCTGCATCAGACATAGCAGCGTTGCTGAAATCAGTAAGACTAAACTTGAACCCACGCTGCATGACATTGACATAAGCATGCCATAAACATATGTCATAGCAGATGAGTTGTCCTGACAGATTTTGTCCAGTATTATAACAGTGTCATGTTACCTTTACTGGTAATTGTCAAATGGTATAATGTTTGATGTCATGACGGCTAAGTAGAGTGCACAGCAGGAATTAGCATGTGACATAAGCTGTCATGACATCAAACATTATACCATTTGACAATTACCAGTAAAGGTAACATGACACTGTTATATAAATAGTATTCCAATGATGTCACAACTGCACTGCCACCATATTGGCTTACAAATTCAAGTTCATTCAGCAGTGCTGTAGCAGTTTTCAATGAGATAACAAAGCCACAACAGATCCAGCAAAGACAGTTAAACATTTTTTGGACACTTTTTTAAATGTCATTTTAAGCCTAATAATCAGTATATTTGAGTGTATTTCCTTGATTTTATTTGATTTGTTGCTGTAGTGATAACACTAGAAAACTGAAATCAAGTTTTCCACTGTCTTTGTCTGCTAACTAGCACACTAAATGAGATGCAATAAATAGTGCAGTACCATTAGAAGTCCGCTCATTAGTGTAGTAGGTAAAGTACAAAGTGCATGGTTTGGGGAGCAGTTCAACAGTCCAGCGGGTCCAGTGGCTGATGCTGCTCGTAAGCTGGCAGTAAACATCTCCAGTCAAAAGTTTAAGATTAAGTATGAATTTATTGAGGTACATTAATGCATCTATTGAGGTAAGCTGATGTTGGCTTCTTATTCACCAGCTTCTTTTTTGAAATTTGTTCTACATTTAGGGAATTTCTCAAATAATACAATTTTTGCAATTAGCCAATATCATAATTACCTTGCAGCATCATTTAAGATGCAACAGAAAATTCAAATAAGAAGCTTCATATATGTATGTGTGTTCATTATTTCAGAGGTTCTGCAATTCTGGGAGCCAATTTTCATTTTAAAATCTCACGCACTGGAATTTTACAGATCTAGTCCATCAATCTAGCTAATCTTCTCCCCGTAGCGTTTTCTGGGAAAGGCATCTAAAGTGTCCACTATCTTTTCATCTTTTTCATGGTCATTCTGGTCTATTTTTCTTGATCCTCATTCACCTGCAGGGCTGTAACTGCAGCAACGGTGATAAAATAATCTCCATCAGAGCACAGTCAGAGTTACAGCTTGCCTACCAAAATGGCGACAGGGCTTTCTTAATGATGTAATCAAATATTATGACTTACTGGATATAATGTGTCATAACAACTAATGGCAGCACATAACATCTTCCATGGCATGTTTATGGCATAGGTGTGTCAACGCTATGAAGCTGTGGGGTCTTTAAACACTGTGCACACTTACTGACCACTTTATTAGAAACACCTAGTTGGTCAACTGAGTAGATGTAAAGTTAGAGACAATAGCTCAACCTTTTCTGTGCACAATTGTCTGATAGCACTCAGTGTCTGACCAGAAGACCGTTGTCGGCTAGATATTTTCGATTGGCAGCATAGAAATGACAGCGAAAATCACCAACACCACCATGCCTGGAACACTTGTACCAGCACAAAGCAAATATACCTGGTCAGCAGTGGTCCTGGGGTGGTCTCTTTCCACTGATGAATGGGGTAGAGGAGGACTGATAATTATTGACCAGTAGATGGGCTGGAGTCTGTAATTGTGAACCTATAAAGTGCACCTATATGAAACTTGCTTCTGATAAAATGGGTTTGTAACTGTAATTGTAGTGCCTAAAACACTAGCAACTCTGCACTCTCAGTCAAGGCCAAAGGTACTGAGACTTTTGAGCCAGTTTTCGGTACAAATAGGACATGTTTAGTGTTCTCTTATTTTTTTTTATGTACAAAACTTAGGCATGAGCCTAAACGCACAGTTTGCACGAACCATACAAACTACCGTCAAATACACTGCTGTAGGACTGTGTAGTTCTCAGCATCTCCAGAGGATCTGTGGAGTGATGTAGGCAACCATGAGACCTCACATGGACTAATCACGATCATGGGAAGGTCTCAGAACAACAACAGCCAACACACACTGAACCATACACTTCCAAAAAAAAAAGGTCTCAGACTTTCACTCAGGTGGTACCCTTCTTGTCATTGGGGTGGTACCCTCAAGGGTATGTCCTCGATAACTTTAGGGAACATAACTGTACTGTATTTCATTGCAATTATATTTTTCAAGTTGCACTGACTCTATACACCCAGCCTGTTCTCCACCCTTTTCTAAATTATCATCTGTTTTAAAACATTAGGTCCTGAATATAAATATGAACTTTTCCTAAGGGAAAACATTTATTTTAGGTACACAACTGGGCCTTAAAACTGTTGTACCTTTGAGGGAACATTTACATTGTTTGTACCTTGATGAACAAAAAAAATACCTGCAAAGTATCTTTTCTTATCTAACAGTGCACAAACTCACCATACAACCTCAAGTCTTTTTCATTTGAAGTGTACTGGCAGTAAATTGAACACTAATATCAGACGCATTGTGAGCATATATTGCAATCATATCTAGGCACATTTTGCACTGCACTCACACTTGTATGTACATCTCAGTTTTTCCATGTCTCTTTTTTTGTTTTTACTTACACTGTTGTGATGCTGTTTTCTACAGTGGCCGACAAGACCCTATTCAGAGTACAATTAAAAACACTTTGCAAACTCATAAACGTGCTGCAGACACAAATAACCCTTTCATCAAAATGACTACATTGGAGTTACATTTTGCATGCTGTAAATAAAGAAAACACACTCAACTTCAGAAACGCTGCAAAGCCAGTCACAACACAACAGTAATGTTTCTGGAAGACTCAATGGGCCCAAAGGGGATGGAATATCTATAATGGAAAATCACTGAGAGAAGTAGAGAAGACCACAGACACTCGCATCCTGAGTTCATGGTTAACCTTGCTGGCTAGTTTGCTGTCTGACATGTCATAGCTGTACTGTGGTAGTTAATCTGGCATTACTAGTTAAACTTTCACAGTTACACTCTACAGCTAATTCCCATTACGATACAGTGATGTCAGTAATCTGCTCAAATAAAAGTTAACTTACCTTTACCAGTGAATGTTTGTGCTGCACAGAATTTGTCAGAATGGCTCCGTCCTCTTTGAGTGTCCTTCAGAAACATCTCTATTGTGCTGTGACTGGCTTATCAGCGTTTCTGAAGTTGCATGTGTCTATGAATTTGCCCCGTGTTTGTAAAATGCATGCAGCCATTTTGATTAAAAAAGTGTTTTCTGCGTTTGCAGCTCGTTTTTTTGTATTTGCAGTTTGTTGGGTCTTTTCAGCCATGGTAGTTCTCCTCAAAATAATCTTTACAGGTGCTCCCAAACATTTGACAGACAGTGCATGTGAGACAATTAAAACAGAGGGTTCAGAACGTGACAAATGTGGGTCATTCAGCATGCACTACTTGGCATTTAGATTGAAATGAATGACCATCAGTTATTATCTTCAGTTATAGGTCACAGGCAGGATGTGGAGATAAGGCATCAAAGCTTACTGGGGTTTTGAATCTTCACAGTAGAGTCGGGTTCAGGGTGCGGCTTGTGAACAACCTGCGTGCACACCTGCTCTGTCAGGATCTAAAGGACGAAGAAAAAAGAATTGATAGAATGTAGAACACAAATCTAAGTTTTGAGTAATGAATAAATGCAAACATAACCCTCAGCACTGACAAAACACTGAAATTTCATATTAACTGTTTACCCATATAGAAAAGAAATATCAATGTATTCTTTAATATAGTTGAAGATGGCAAAAAGCTACTTTTGTTTAATGTACAATAGTGTTTTAAATTCATTCTGGAATGAAACAATATATTGTAAATTTCACATATTTAAAAAATAAAGGCAATATGGGTATTGCTCATAGCTCAACAAAAACAAGCTGATTAATGCTGTTGAATGTGTCGATTCCACTTTTGGATTCTCAAGTTTGTTGAAAGAAAAGCATCCTTTATATGTTGGGGGGTTCACACTGTGTTTTCTGAAGGTGGAAAAAAATCGATGCCTACCACACTGAATTGCAGCTAGTGATAGATCATCGGTGAGCTAAAATTTGCCAAACTTCTTGTTTGTTAGTTCTAGATAACATGATGGAACAACAAAAAACAGACTTGAAATCTCACGCAGTGCATTAATAAAACCCCAGCTGTGCTACCAAACTATCTAACTAGACAATATTTGAAAAAATAAAATAGAAATTGTGTTGCTGTTAGCAAAAAAACAAGCTTTTGTTTATATTATGATTTATGGAGATATGTGAAGGACTGCAATCACTAATCCCCCTGCATTAAAACCATAAAGGCCCATCTTCGATCTGACTGGCTGTTCAGAGCATAAAAAAAACTCATAATGTAGGGGGCTTGAATTTTTTTCAACACAGGGCGCCTGGAGCACAGGGGGTATATAAACCGATGTGCCCACAGTACAAACACAATGCACAAAACGTATCTTTCCCATTGGAAACAACAGAAAAATAGTACCTTAAATCTCAAAAAAATGTGTGAAACCCTTTTAGGATATGGTTGATTACCACAGTCAGTAATTGTGATGCGTCTTCTCGTACTTAGAAAAGAAGCTTTCAGTTGTATAACGTCATAAGAACAGCTCTGATGTCATCCTTCAACCTAAACTATTAGAGTGTAATGATAGTAGTTTCAAATTTGGTAAAACAGTCATGCATTTCAACTGTTTATTCACAGAATTCTGCAGGTGCCCATTCTATTATAATAGGTTTTTTTGTTGTTTTTTCTCTCGCCACGACCCAGAAGGATAAACAGTTTAGAAAATGTTTTTTTTTCTCTTCCTAATATGGGAAAACATGGAAATTATTGCCAGTGGTAATCAGCCATACGAAACACATTGTTTGCACTAGGTTGGAAAATGCTTGCATGTCCCTTTAAGATCCTAATAATGGGATCATCACAGATCATGCACACGCTTGAGAATAACATGAATAGAAGATGTGCTACCTCATAGAGCGTGTTGTACGTCGTCACTGACACTGTGCTGGTGTGCAGCATTAGCCTCTCGCCCAGAAGTGTGAAGAGGCTGTGCGTGTGCATGATTTCCACCTTTCTCCTGCAGAAACACACAAAAGTGTCAAGGCAACAGGAACAGGCCGAGATAGCTACTGCGCTTGGCAACTCCAGCGGAGTGTCGGGTAACGTCACTTTTTCACAAAGACATGAAACAACAAATCAGCCCTGATCTCCAGACGCCGCTTCAAGACACATGCAGGAAAAAGGGAACAGCGTTCGCAGTGACAAAGTATCGGAGAGCGCATCGCTCAGCAGTGCTGCAGCATTAGGCATTAGAATGCAGCAGGGCCTAGAGGCGCAGAGGGACAGTTCAGACAAATGGCTGCTGTTCTTCAGGCTGCCAACACCGCACCGAATTCGCTCTAGAGCCTTCAAACACAACAGCCCGACGCTTACTTATTGATAACTATGCAAATGGGGGAAAGTGCTTGAAGATGATTTATACAAGGCCACTGCTAACTGCAGCACAAGCCTGCAAATGTCAATATAATGCTGGCTTTAAAGCTTAAGCAGCAGTCCTGACGGATAAGAAAATTAGCGTGGAGGCTGTTTTCTGCTGAACGGCAGGTCTAGAGATGATCGAAAGGAAATAAACAGGCTGTTAATGATCGTTTTGTTGGAACAAATATCTCCTAGTAGGTTATTACTAATACAACCTTACAAGAACTATAATGCTGCAACAGTACAAAACAGTGATAACTAATGCTACAAGGCATTATGAATAATCCAAGGACCCATATCACAGAAAACTCAAATGTTCTTCCTCTTTTTTTTTTTTAAATAAGAGTTTGATGTAGTATGTAAACACTGCTAAAACATTCACTCAGTCAAAAGCACCCAGTCCATAGGAGAACTAAGCTGGAATGACCCATTTATGAGCACTCATGTATCCACTTATATATCATTTTAGGGAGTGTTTCAGTCTGGACTGCTTTTAAATAAGATGCAATACAGAGCAGGCAATCAGAACAGTGGTCATTCACATATATCACATACATCTTAAAGGCACAGCAATAAAAACAGCTAAGGGATAAAAAAGGTTGGTATAAAATCAAATTATGAATGTTTTTGCCACATAAACACACACACACAAACAAAAAAAAGGGCTAGTTTAAAATCTATCAGATAAAACTCTACTAATCCAGCTCACTACAAAGACATGCTAATTTAGCCCGTTTCACAAAATGAACCAAAAACCATTCCTCTAAACTAATACTAATACCTAAAACATCCTTCACACACACATACTCACTCTGCCGATCTAACTCTCACACACAAACATGTATACACACCTCTCCTTCCTCTCCATTTGTCTTATTTCTTATTCATCAGGCTTGAAGGACCCAATCATTTGCCCACCCATTGCCTAGAGCAGTGGAGGGCTGCGCAGAATGCAGAATAAGCTGAGAGGAAAAGCAGCTGGCTGGACTAGACTAGCACTGGCTCATGACAAAATGTGATAAGAAGACATAAGTCTACTTGGTTAGTAGTACAAGCCGAAGGTGGTTTAGTACTTAAGACTTGTAGAACTTAAATTGCCTTTTAGGGTCCTTATGGGTTGTCCATAAGGATGATATTACCCTGAGATCATTTTGCAAAAAGTCTATTTTAAGTTTCAAGTTTATTACAAAGTGCATGAAAGTGCTGTACTGTACAATTGATCAATCAGCCAATAAATCAATCAATAAATAAATAATCTAACAATAAACTAGTACATCATAGAGGAACAACTGGACAAAACTAATAAGCCTAAAATATTGACAGATACACCAAATCATTCAAATAAATACCAGGAGTGCCGTTCAAACAAACTGCAATTCAGATAAATATAATTAGCACATTAGTTGAAATTAATATACAGTTGTATGCAAAAGTTTGGGTAAGTGAAAATAAATGAACACATCCTCTACAGAAAACGCACTACTGCACATTTTATTACACAGTTACTGTTTATTTGCTGAATTTATCATTTAAAAAAACGTTCCCCGTAAAGGATGTGCTAATTATTTTCATTAAATATCAAGAACATCAAGATCAGTAGCCACGTTGACATGCAGCCTGATAATCCATTAATAATCAAACTAATAGCTCAATCGGAATAGAATATGTCCATGTAAACACTTCAGCTGGAACAGACTAGTCTGATTGAGGCCATTCGGAATACAATTTCTCATTGAATGAGGTGGGTAATCCTGTAAATAATTCATTAAATAGAAGAATAATAACCATGTAAACATCTGTATCTGATTACATTCCCAATCGGAATGTGTGAGTACGCTCTGCGTGTGTGCATCCTGTCATAGTGAAAGTTCATAACGTTCAACATGGCAGGAGCAGAAACTGGTCTGCAGAGGAGACGAAGTTTATGCTCTGATCTTTAAAAGACGGCGGTGGGACGGGCGTCCAGCTTATGTGTCTCAGAACACGACGTCTTCCTCTCGGCCTTCTTTAATAAGTACATCATTTTAAACTTATGTAACACACTGCTGCTCGTCTCACTCTGACTGGACTCACGTGATGCCCGTTGTCATGGTAACGTCTACACTAAGTGGTTCTCTACGCAAGCACATAATTTTGAATCGGATTTCTTGTAGTGAGCATGTAAACGGAGATTTACCCTCAGATTGTTGAGTAGAGTGAGCATAAACACCTCAGTCTTAATTTAAATCAGAATGTATTTAATCAGATTGGCAACAATCTTTGCATGTAAACACAGCCAGTGAGACAGTATAAAGTGCCCATATCATGGAAAATAGATTTTTCTTTGCTTTACATATAGATATATCCATTACATTATATAACATTTACATAAATCCACCTGTTCAGCCTACATCAGTTTAGTCCCACTCTTTCACACTGAAGTTATAAGAAGCGTTTCAGACTGAACTGCTTTTTGAGTAAGGTACAATACAGGAATCTGATTCTAAAAGATAAAAAAGAAGGAAAATGGTCATGTAAAAATGAACTCTGAGTGTTTTCTTGCATAGAAAATGACACAAGCATCATAAGTAGACCTGAAAAAAGGGGAAAAAATAATATAAACTAAATCATATGGGCCCTTTAAAACACATTAGGCACTTCACTAATGCCTTTTGGTGAAAAGTGGGCAGGTAATCATGCACAGACAGGACATTATTTTTTTCATTAAAACTGGACGCAAATGTCTAGGAAATGAAATTTACTCACTTGTGACCCAAGTGTTTGAGGAAGTAGCCCAACACCTTCAGTGCCTGCACTCGAATGCTTTCACTCTTGGAAGCCAGCAGTTTGTAGACCACTCTGAACAAAGCACAAGATATAATAACCAAGAATTACTCTTCAAAATAAAGGGTTCTTCGGAGTGATGTCACAGATTCCACTTTTGGTTCCCTTAAGAACCTTTCAGTCAATTTTTGTAAATAAGAGACAAGCAAAATGTTGTTAAAATTATAAGAATATAATGTAAAGATTCAATACCAACTAAAGGTTTTCCTAGAATCATATGCTCAGCTTTTATTTTGAATAGTGTAGCATTAAAAAAAAAACAGAGTATCAACACACAGTTCTGCTTTAGCAGTGATCTAAATGTAACGAAATGTGTCTTTCGATAAGACGTCAGATAAGATAAAAGTGCTAGTGTAATGCAGAGTTGGCGCATGCTGGCTCGAGCTTGTTTCATCACAGCAACATCAACTAATATGTGCGAAAAGTAACGCCGCGCCGGGGAAATAACTTCATCAAATCCGTCCACATTTCATTAGCTAGACACATGGGGCAAAGGCTTGATCCTGCTTGTCAGGAATGAAATAAATATGGAAATATGCGAATATTCTTATGTAGATGAGGCTGAATAATTCATGCGGGCACACTCGGCGGTGCGAAAGAGCGGATGAGAGGCAATCTAACTCGTCCACCCATGCTGCAGTGCTCACCGGATGCCGTTTCTCTGGTCGAAGGCGGGGATCATGGAGGCTGGATGCTCAGACATCAGCGCTACCAACAGCTGAAGGACATCGTGGAGGTTTTCATCCTGCGGGCAGAAGTACAGGAGCGTTTCAGTGTAGTTACATGTAATACTAGTGATGATATGTAATAGCATTTGTGCGATTTTAAATGGATGTGACAAACAAGTCTATTACAAAACCCATAACCTACACTCGGCTGTCATTTAACCCTTACAAGAACATGTTGCTATACTTCTAATGTAATTATTCACATCTAACTGACTAATTACATTAACAATTACATAGTTATACAATAATGTTATTAACATTATTGTTATTAATTATTGAAAGGGTAGAATGCACATAATTTCGCTGCTTTTTTTAGTGATTCATGAGAAAAAATAAGAAACATAAAATGAAAGATATTATCCACAATAACTGCCTTCAGGAAGGGTTTAGAGGTGTTGAAGACACAGATTGGCATCATGCTGTTCAGTTTAGAATTACAAATCATGCCTGCAGTGAGAGCTCTGAGACATAATGTACTTCAGCACCTAGGTGGAGTTCATTTGCACTGCCGATGTGCTTGTAGAACACAATATTGTAATAATTTCCCAATTACCTAATATTACCCAGAAATGTTGTTACATTTGCACTTGGTCCAAAATGTAACCCAAAAAAGTAATAACCTGCCCAGTAATGTAATACATATACCTGAACTGATATTATAATTTCTTTTTATTGATAATGTACAATTTTATTACATTTTTGGGAATTTCTGACATTTTAAAGTTGATCACATGTAATACATTATTACATTATGAGGAATTTATTACATTTTCTGAGTGATCATATGTGACACTTTACTGCATTATTCAGAATTTATCATATTTAAGTTCATCATTTCTTTTTATTATTTTTTTTTAATAGATGATGTAATACTTACCAGTAACCGGAGTTACGTTTCCACAGCTTGCCTAAAATGCTTTTGTGCTTTCTCCAAAATGTAGAATATGGACCAAAAATTTATGTGGCACCATAAAATCAAACATATCAGACAGTATCTGATATGTCTGATGTTCCACTTAAAAACATAACAACTTGTAAATATAATAAATTCCCAATAATGTATTAAGGTATTAAATTATCATCAAACTAATGTATATCAGTTTAAACAATGTATTACATTACTGGACAAGTTATTGTTACTATGACTAATGACATTTTTGAACAAGTTAAGTGCAACATATTACACTACTGGCCGATATTACATTGGGAAATCATTACATTACTGCGTTCTACATAGTTCTGTAAGCCAGATGTCTGCCTGTTTGTAGAGATTCTGGCACTTTTCACTTGCGTAACATGGCCAAGAAGAACCTACCTTCTCAGGGAGAGGCCGCTTGACAGACATGCCAAACGACCAATCACAGCTGGCTGTTTTGGTGCAGATTTATATCTAGCTCTGAAAGGCTTATTTTTCATTATAATGTCCAGCGCAGGCAGCTGTTTGCTTTCGCTGACTAGAATTTAGCTGGAAAAACAAAACTCATTTCCCATCTCAATGATAAAAAACACAAACATGTGAACAGCCAATAAGAAGGCAACTGACAGAATCTCTGCACTCTGCAATTGTGGTTGGCTTTTTGTGCAAAAGATATCAGGTCCTTGGTTTCTGTGTAGCCTGAGTGTCTGAGGCTGAGACTAGGTTCTACGTGGCTGCCTCGTCTGCTGTGAACAGACCCACCTCATGCATGGTCAGCAAGTAGTTCTGAATGCTCTGAAGCTCATCCTCTTTAACACCTCGATCCTGTTAGAAAAACAACAGTACAGTTCATGTAAAACAAATACATGGTTTTACAAAGAGGACACTATAAACATCCTTCATGTGCGGTCACCTTCAGTTTCTCTTTTGGCATGAAGAGATGCCAAATCTGTCAATTAATAAAGAACAATAGTCTTTAGGTCTGACCAAGACATGTCCAACAAGGTTGGTGCACAGTGCTCTTATTTATGGCCTGACCATAACATCGTTTGGCCAATAAAACTGACCAATATTAAAAGGTCCACTTTATGAGAATTGACAGAAATGCAATGAGGCAAATATTACCAGTCACTAACTAAAACTGTTGGAAATCTTTCATTGTTTGACATTTCTGTATAATTAAATAGTTAAGATGTAAACAGTCATTCAGAGTGGTTTGGTGTGAAATACTCCATTGTAGAGAAACCTAGCAAGTTGTCAGACGTCCGAAGCTTTTAATGCCTTACAGTTTTATGCCTTACAGTTTTATGATAGTTTTGGGAAGGTTTTGGCCTAAAATGTACTTCTTTCAACCCATCTGTGACAGAGAGGAATATGCAATAGTACCTATACATGCAATAGTACAAACAGTACCCACACTTTTTTCAGATCCACCACTATTTTATCATCAACATGACATATAAAGACTCAGACGACATATGTAGGTTCACTGGTTGATTTTGATAGCAAATAAAAAGGTTATTTTCAGAACCCCTGGTTCCTATCACCACCACTAAAGAAATCTGAGTTGGTAAGTTTTTCTACATGGCAATTTCACATTAAACCACTCTGAACGACTTTGTTTACAACCTCAGAAATGAAAAATTTATTAAGATCTGTGTTTAAATGTAATGATGATAGTAATATAGAAACAAAACTGCAACGAACAGTAAAGCCAGCTGAAAAAAAACATTGGTGCTACCCTGTCCACCCTCCAAGACTCATACTCTTTAAGAACTAGGAAACGGGCAGGGAAGATCATTACAGATTCCTCGCACCCTGGACACAACCTATTTCAACTCCTCCCCTGCAGGCACTACAGAACCCTATATACTAAGGCTGCCAGACACAGGAGCAGTCTCTTTCCTCATGCCATCACCCTCATAAATAGCTGACCAGTAATATCATCTGCAGGGCTACTCCTGTTTTTTCTCCAGATAGTTATTACACCCTGCTTCAGACTCATAGCACTGTGCACAACAATTTTACTCCCATACATGATGTAGATTATTGTTGTTTGTTTATTGCTTGCCCCTGCATAATCTGTATATTGCTTGCATATTGAGTATTGTCTGTAAATAATATGTACATTGTCTGTATATTACTTGTCCATATATAGTCTACATACTGCTTGTATACTGTGTATAGTGTATATTGCTATTGTGTATTGCCTGTAAATTATTTGAACATTGTTTGTACATTACGTTTAATACTAGAGAGACACCAACAGCTGGAACCAAATTCCTTGTATATGTCAATATACTTGGCCAATAAATCTGATTCTGGTTCTTAAAATCAATATTAACATTGGTGACAAAGGCCCAATCCCATTTCACCCCTCGCCCCCACCACTTAGCCCTATCCCTTCATTTTGCACGTTCATGCCTAGGGGTAGGGTGTCCCGATTTTTGTTGAGATGGAGGGGTAGGGTGAAGGGTTAGGCCCTCCAAATGAAGGTTTTTCAGAGGCTCAATCCAAAAGGAGTGTTATGAGAAAACAAGAAAAAGGAAGATGGCTGTGCAAGCGACCAAAGAAATCCACAAACATGAGAATTTTCTCTGTTAAAAATTAACCATGTATTAACTTCGTTTAAAGTCATTACGATTTTTTATGGTCCTTTTCTTCATAACAAGCATAAAAATTCCCAATAGAATGCAAATGTCTCAGTAGCTAGCTAGCTAAATTTCCCATTCGACCTTAAATTGTCCAGCAGTTCTGACGCCTGAAGCACCAGAATGTAACTGCTGCTCCATTTAAGGTGGAACAGGAAAATTTAAACAAGAAGCTGGTGAATACCTGACTTCAGCTTCATATCACTGAAGAATTAGGGGTGGGTGATAATAAATAATTGTCTCATCCCCCTCTTTGGGGGTATATGATGCCCTAAATGTAACTAAAGCCCAGCAGTGAGGTTGCTGAACTTCACCCTCCTCTGCTATCACTGCAGACTGGTAGGGTCACCTACAGAGCACCGCTAGTAGCCTTTTAATGAAGTAATGTTCTTTTTATTTGATGGTGCCATATTATAGGGGAAGATTTCAACCACAACAACTTGTAACTCAGTTCCAAGGGGCAAGGTGACACCCGAAAACAAGGGAGAAGGGTAAAAATAAGAAATGGGATTGGGCCAAAATGTTTATATCAGTTGGGCCCTACTCATCAGTGAGTGAACTTCTGATCTTCCAGCAGAGTAACAGAAGTTGAGTCAGAATTCAGTGCCAGTTTGGTGTTATAGCTCAAACATAGCTCAAATTCCTAAACAATCCATAAAACCTGTCAGGTAGGGTGTTGTGCATGCTGATATCAGCTCGCTGACATTTTTTCTTCATAGCAAATTTCTGTCGCGTCTTTTACAAGCTGTTCCCCATTGTACTGCGGAGCCTCTATGAGTTTCAGGCCGGCTGATCAGAGCACACATTTCCCATTACGCTTTGAGCAGAGACAGATTGAGAGGTAATTGTTGTTTGTGTGTGGCTTGGCCCACTGACAGACTTTAGTTGGAAAGCGGGGTGTGTTAGCATTGCCGCATATGAGAACACGTGTTGCTCCAACAAGGTCTGTCAGAAAACAGTAAACAGCTACATAAGCTGATGTGGGGCTTGATTATTCGCTGAAGTCACGGCCCTTGCAGAATTATTGAGCGCCGCACAGAACAATTTCATGTCACAACGTGGTGTGTGACATACAACAGTGAGCACGATGTTTGTGGAGAAATGAAAGCTCTGGGTTCTTGTGTCACTCAGTGCAGCACTGGCTCATTATCCACACGGGGTGCGGAAGAAAAGCCGAATCTTACCTTGAGAATGAGCTGCTTGAGAAAGAGCAGCATGAAGGCCCTCAGCGAGACGATCTCCTTTTGGGAAGGCCGGGGGCCGTCTGAAAGCAGACAAGCACAATGAGACACGGTCAGCACAAAAGGTGGCCTGGGACAGTATTATGGTCCGCATACCGCATTATCTGTTCCAGCAGGGACAGTGCTGAAGTGATGACTAAAGGCCAGAGCACACTGACCCAATAATCCTTTAAAAAGCCCTCACATCCACACTGTCCTAGAACATTCTCCTCTGTTCACACGGTTTCAGAACATTGTCCCCCATTCCCATAGAATGTTCTCCTTACCACCACCTATTCTCTCCTATCAGCAATGTTCTAGAATGTTTTTTCCACTTTGACATTCTCCTTGAATATTCTCTCTAACACTGTTCTAGAATGCTCCCATATCCACACTGCTCTAGAATGTTCTTCCCAATCACACTGCTCTAGAACGTTCTCCCCATCCACACTGTAATAGAATGTTCTCCTCGATTCACACTGTTCTAGTGTTCTTCACAATCTCCAATGTTCTACCCTATCCACACAATTCTTGAATGTTTTCCACTATCCACAATGTACTAGATTGTCCTCCCACATTCACACTGCTCTAGAATGTTCTTCCCAATCACACTGTTCTAGAGTGTTCTCCCCATCCACACTGTTATCGAATGTTCTCCTTGATTCACGCTGTTCTAGAGTGTTCTCCACAATCACCAATGTTCTACCCTATCCACACAGTTCTTGAATGTCCTCTGCTTTCCACAATGTACTAGACTCCTAGTCCTCCCGCATTCACAATCTTCTAGAATGTTCTCACTATACCCACTGTTCTTGAGTGTTCTCCCAATTTACTGTTCTAGAATGCTTCATTCACACTGTTCAAGAACACTCTCACTGCCCACACTGTTCTAGAATGTTCTCCCCTATTCACACTGTTTTAAAAAACCCTCCCTTACCTGCACTGTTCTAAAATGTTCTATCTCATCCAAACTCTTCCAGAATTTTCTCCCTTCTTCATACTGTTTTAGAATGCTCTCCCCACTCCTACTTTTCTAGAATGTTTTCCCATTCATACTGTTCTAACATGTTCTACCCAATCACACTGTTCTAGAATGTTTCACCTTATTCACACTGTTCTGGAATTCTCTGGCATCTTCACAGTTTTAGAAAGCTCGCCCTCATTCATACTGTTTTAGAATGTTCTTCCCAGTCACACTGTTCTAGAATTCTCTCCCATGTTCAGACTGTTGTAGAACATTCTCCCTCATTCATACTGTTTTAGAATGTTCTTCCACATTTACACTCTTATAGATTGTTCTCCCACGTTCCTAATCTTCCCCATTCACAGTGTTCTAGAATGTCTAATTCTGTGTTGGTTATATTTCCCTAGAACAGAGTATTTAACATCAAACCACTCCAAATGACTGTTTACATCTTAACCATTTAATTATGCACAAATTTTGAAAGTGGAACTTTGAAATTCCAGGGCTTTTTACATACTAAGGCTGATTATTCAAGGACTTCAGTGCAAACTGGCTGAGCTAATCTTAGGTTATAGAAGTGTGTAATAAACTTTGGGCCCACCGGTGGGCCCTGACCATTTAAGGGGTTAAATATGTGCTTGAGCACACAGCACAGTGATGGAGGCTGAAGATGCATTGCCAACGATCCATTAGCTTTGATCTCAACTTGCAGAGTATGTTCTGTCAGACTCTCAGTCTCTTTGTCGCTGCTTTGATTCACTGGGGGTGAGAAACTGTTTACCTCTCTTATTCTCCAGGGTATATTTTAGTTTGTCCATCTGAATTTACATGACCAAATCATAAGGCAAATTATTCAGTAACTGCATGAAATAAATGTAATTTTTCTTTCTATTTATTTATTTAATTTTTGAAAAGTTCTTCTCAAATTAACAGAAACGTGTTTTATGATCATACACATATTGCTATATGCTTATAATTTACTGCTGAAAGCCAAACATCTTAGACGCTCTTTGTATTATTTTATAAAAACAATTTTTACAGAGCAGATCACTGAAGAGACGCCATCTGTTTGTAGTTTATAGCCCGGATTTGTGGAGCAATGGGTCAGCTTTCAGTAGACAAAAATTTGTGAGTTCAGCTTCTTTTATTATAAGGGTTTAAAATTACATTACCCATCTATTTGACTGGAAAGAAGACAGTTACAGCTCTCATATGACACCCACCTTTTGACTGTAGCTTATGAAATATGAAAGTTATGAAGAATATGACGAAGTGCGTTTTGGTCCCAAGGAGTTGAAAAGGTTAACCAAAAAAATTCTAATTCTATATGAAGTAATTAGCAAGACGTTTCAGCATAGAAATAATCAGAAACTGGATAAACTGCTGTTGTTCTTGATTATTATAATGTTTCTATATGGGTCTCAGTGAAGTAACAGAGTTTGTGAGCTGTGTATATAAAGGTTACTGTCTCTAGAGGACACATATGTATAAACCTGCATTACATGTTAGCTATATTAGTCTCATTGCTCCAGTGCTAAAGAAGCAAGCTTCTAAACCCAAACATGTCTTGACTGGTCAATTACATTTGGTATAATAGAAATGATATTTTATACATGGGCCACCTTGTTTCTCAACACTTATTCCTTGTCACAACACAACTCAAAATACATGTGTAGGCACATCTGAATGAGGAGGGCCAGTGTTATCTGATCTGATGCAGAGGATATTGATTACATGTCATATTCAAAGATGCACCTTAGACTGAGAAGTGCTCACACGGGCTCATTCATTTCAAAGCTGTCTTCGACTATTAGCTTTGTTCTTCTTTCTGATTACTGTAAGCATGTGAAGCTGACAGATGTAAAGACTGATGGCAGCCCCAGTGATCAATACCAGCTCTTGCTTATTCATTACACTCACAGCGAGAATAAGCACAAGACTCAAATCAATGTTAGAAGTTTTTACACAACAAAAGTGGGTAAAAAATAAAAATCGGATTAAATTATGGGGCACAATCAGCTAATTAGGTTTGTAGTTTTGAAACGAGTCCTGAGAATGGCTGAGAATGACTTGTGTCCTGCTTGGCTGTTGCTCATTACTCTGTTCCATGAGCAGATCTGTAGTGTGAAGCACGTTCGCCTGCTGATCCACAGGCAGGCTGGAGAAAAATAATACAACCTGCTCAGTGGCAAACCACAACTATTAGAGCTAGACCCTCAGTTCAGGCCATAAATGTCAAAACTCAGTCAAATATGAGAAAAAAAGAAAATAGTGTTAATAGTAATTTCTGATAGCACCCCTATGGGACTGTAGTAGCCTGTTAGTGCTTAAGCTAACATCAATTTACATCCACATTTTTGTCCGTTCTAGATTAAACACAGACATTTGAAGACTGTAAAAGAAATCCTTTGTTTAATGTGAAGCATGATGAATAAAATAAGGTGCTTCTGCCAACTATAGGTGAAGTTCCATCAAAATTCAAAAAACGTTATCAGTAAAAAGGTGCATCCTGAGCAAAAGAGTAAGTTTATTTGGTTAAAACATGATGTTTCGGCCCACATGCAAGGACTTTATCAGATGTGAAAAACAATAAAAAGCACACCATTTTAAAAAGCTCTAAACAGTAGTGGGTCCTAATTAGAGGAGCGGTCTCATCTCCTCATCTGCCCCGTCTAGTGGCCTAAGACAGACAGAGGATAAAGACTCAAATTTACATTTCAGTATTCATATTCAAAAAAACAAGGCAAGAGAGCACATTCCTTTCAAAACAACAGTGTATTTCAGTTTCTTTACTTAAATGACATATAAAATATTTCCCTGTATTCACCTAGTTTATTAATGTTTTCCCCACTTTCTACGACCACTTGTTTCACAATAATCTGACGTTTGTTGCACATATTTACATACATTTTACCTTGTAGCAGTTAAAGAGTTGCAGCTGCTGTTTTCCATTTCTAACAACTGACTGAATCATGGTTAGACCACAGCTTGTATTCACAATCAGTTATGTATCCAGAACTTCCAGAAGACCTAGACCTCATAAAATCGGTCCCACCCATTATAAAGTAAAATGTGATTGGTTGATTCAACTGTCAGTTCCTAAATATGTTAGTGGATAATCTGACACATTAGGCCTGCAGTTCAGATCCTGAAAGCCTAACCAGTTGGAGAGCTCACTTGGATTGGACCATTTTCTGATGGCCTTTCAAGATTTTCATCCTTTTGTTTCCAGCCAAAACATAGACAAAAAAAGAAAACATTGAAATAAAAGTATTACTACATTATTTACAGAGTTAAAATACAACACACAGAATGAATCTATTAAATCAAATTACATGACTTTTTTTTTTTCAAAGAAATCATTAGGTCTTTGTCTGAAGGCCTACAAGGTCCTGAGGGTTCCTTATTGAACCTGATATTTGGGGGGCAGAGTTTGGATGGTTAGGTGTGCTTAGCTAGCCCTAGTGCCCAAGCAAAATAGATCCAGCCTGGTGCCAAAAAGCACCAGGCTGGATCTATTTCTCCCAGACCTTTTTTTCCAGACTATTTCTCCCAGACTTTTTTTCCAGACTAAATATTTTTCATTTTCATATGTAACTCCTTGATTTATATTATATTATTTCTTTTTCTAGTGAATCATTGTTTTGGGGTCATGTACAACATCAAAAAAGCAGTTTCTACTCTCTTGGCTTTTGAGTTATTGCGCATACAGAAGCTTGCCTGTGGTCATGGAGTTAATGGGGAATTGTGTCTGTGATGTAAACATTCAGAGTGCTTTGATGTGAAATGTTAGAAAAACTTACAGAATTAGAGTCGGTCACAGTGGTGGTGATAGGAACCAGACGTCCAAAGCGTTTAATGCCTCTAAGCGTGACATCTCAGAAAGTTAAGACTTAAATGGCTATAAATCCACTGCATAAGTTCTTTAATCCATTCATGTGGAGAGATATATGCAGGGTGTTGTGAGGCAAATTAGTACCCAAACGTACAACTTTCTGAGCTTAAAATCAAAGTTAATATAACAATATATTTTTTATAAGTAATTTTGGACCATTTCTATTAGTCCAATCACTATGAAAT